AACAGCTGCTGCCAATTGAGTCCAAGCTGACAGATGCAGGATGACTTTTGGTTTTATTCCCCTTGTGCTCTGAAATTTTCATTTCAAAACGCAATATTGAATTGGCCTTGACAAGAACCAGGTGCTAATTCTGATCAGACAGTTACTGCATTACTCATTGTGCTGTACCTGTTTCCCTCCCCCAGAGCAGCAAAACTCAGCATTTTGATGCTCACAGCAGTGCTGTTGGTTCCATAAAACTACAAATGGGGCTCATATCCAACTCAAAGCTTGCTCTGTTCAGCCCCTTGCAGTGTTACACTGCCACCAGTAGAAGTCATTTTGCCACCTGGCTCAGCAGCCCAGCTGCTCATTTCATGATGATCCATCCAGGTTCAGCTTGCCATGCTGTTTTTCAGTCCTAATAGCTCCCCAGGTTTGACACACAAGTTGTTGCTGGTCTCTACTGTGGGAAATGGCATTTTCTGTATGTCATCCTCTGATGCTACCTATACAAAACTCCTGTTAGGGTTTGGCTTCCCTGTATGTGCAGCAGCTGGGCTCTGGCAAAGCAGGAGCTCAAAGTCTCCTCTGGAAATTTCATCCTCAGCTGCTCTGGGCTCTCTTCTCTCCTCTGTGCTGCTCTTACCCTCACCAGGCACTGCTACCTCGTGAGGGGATCTCATAAAAGGAAATTTTCCAAACTGAATAAATATTTCCTACGATGAAAGACAGAAGAAAAAGAAGTAAAACAAAGGGATGGGCTTCATAGCACAGATACTTGTGTGAATGCCAGAGCACTTTCAACCTTCATCAGTAAAGGCATGAATACAAAGTGGTTATTAAATCGTCTCTTTCTTTAAAGTTTGTTCCACAGACAAGCTGGCTCCACGGGGCAGAAATAAGCAGAGGAAGAAAAGGGCAATAATGCAGAGCAGTAACAGCATCTGGCAGAGGTTTGGGGCTTGCTGTGCCCCAGCCTGCACTTCTCCCTTCTCTGGGGAAGAGCAGAGCCCTCGCTGTGAAACTCTCACTTGTGAGAGCACAAAGACAGACACGCATCAAAGCGAAGGTGTCATGAAAGCTCTCATTTCCCCTTCAAGCATTCTTGGTATTGTCTCTTCTGATTTCCTTATCTCTCCCGTTTCAGGACACAGCTGTCCTTTTACTTCGTAATTGCAACGATAGGTATCTGAACCTGCACTGAAGTGCAAGTTCTTCTGTGGGAGAGCGAGAGGAGGTTGATCAGCATCCCGGGGACACCTGTCCATATGGATTACCAATAACCCCCTTCATCATTAGCACCTTATACATGGCTTTTGTTGGGTCTGTTCCAGGAGAAATGGAGGCTTCCATCTTTCCCCTTCACGAGGCAGCCAGCAGGAGCAGCACACAGACTGCACGTGCCTGTGCTCCTACACAGCTGAGCTCATATGATGGTGGGGTATTTTGCCCCACAACAGAGGCACTTGTGCTGATGTAAAAGCACAGTATGACTCTGGAGCCGCAGCCAAGAACGTCAGAGCAAGCACTGAACAATAGCTGTGCCTGGAACAGAGGGGCTGTGAATTTGTGAGCTTTTCCCAGCCATCAGCTGCTGCATGGAGTGGAGGTTATTTGTATGTAGAATGGGGCTGCCACCACCTCTACTGGTTTTGACTGGGAAATGCGTGAAAGATTTCAGGTCATGTGCACTCTAAGGCAAATCGAGACAGTGTTTTTGTTTTAATGATTCAGTCCTGATTATCACTTTGTCATTTGTAAAAGATCACAGTCCCTAAAGGTGGGAGATGTCATCAATTACATAATTAATCTGCCAGCAGCAAAGGAATATCCTCCCAGCTCCAGGTTTGTTACACTGGGAAGTTATCTATGGGCCAAGATGGTTAACAAATGCTTCAATATACACCTCAGAGCTACAAAGGCATTTCAGAGAATCAAACCTAAGTGATAGAAGATAACAATGCAAAAGTAAGGCAACGAAGTTGTCTGAATTTTGTGGTTCATTAAATGCCAAGCATCCAAGAAAATCTAAGACAAGAACAAGCATCTAGCAAAATAGCACCATCTCTACAGCTCTTCTAAAGCAACTGAGAACAGATTTTGTAGCATGGATGATCTTGGAGGTCATTTCCAACACCGGCAGTTCTCTGATTCTGTGATTCTAACTGTGTGTTCAACAAAACCACAATAGTTTTATATGAAAGGGATTACAGGGATTTAATAAAACTAGAGGATTAGAAACAAGAATTATGCCTGGCCTGCAGAGGAAGGCGCTCCACTGAGAAGAACAGATCCCAGCGCCGTATCTTTAGCAGTCAGCACAGTCCCACATGGAAGCTCCAGTTGTTTGTACATGAGTTCTTAGGAAGGCAGAACTTCTCCGTACCTCTCTGTTTGGCTCATAAATCTCTGTGCAATTCTGCAAGTCACAAGAGACAAGGTAAATGAGATGCTGAACGGAGGAAATAGAACTGAGCAAAAGCAACTCCAAATTGGTCCCTGTAGGACCGCCAAACTAAAATAATAAGCAAGGGAAAGAGAAACCAATGTCACCAAGCCAGATGCATACAAAGCACATCCACAACAGTCCCTGAGTGCTTCCCATTGTAAACAGCAGTGAGCAGAGCGGGCTGCGCCAGCCGGGCCAGCCAAAGGTCCTGGGGCACCAATCTGAGATGTGGCAGTGCTCAAACTCTGTAACGCCAAAGTTTGGGATAGACCCCACTCTAGAACTACACCCAAAGATTTCTGAACACCAGAAAACTACAGAAGTTATTCCTCTCTTAGCCTGAAAGGTTCACATTGTAGAGAAACTGCCTAGAACAGCCATTTTTACAAGATTATTCACTTCTTATTCACTCAGTGCTTGAATCTGAAAGAATGCTCAAATGCAGGCATTGCTTTCAGTATAAAGCTGCTCAAAAATAGACACATATTGCCCTTGTTTGTTTAAAAAGGCATAAAACACCTGTGGAACTCACATCCAAGCTCAATGCTTCTTAAAAATGAAATGGGGAAAGAAGGAAGGAGAGGAGAATCCCCAGGACTGGAACTGCTTACCAGCAGCAGCAGAGCTGCCCCAAGCTCCTCACTCCTGCTCTTACCTGAAAGCTTCCAGCACAGCTGCACCATGAGCTCATGAAGCATTACTTGAGCACATTGGCTGCTCTCCGAGGCTCCTCAGTTGCCTCATCACACTCAGCTGAGACATCCCAGAAGCCTTTAAGAACTGGGTTGAATAAGGAGCTCTGAGCTGGGGTCTCTACACTGGCTATCTGCTTTTGTATCTGCCTGAGGACTAAGTGGTACAAAGCTCTGAGGCCAAGAAGAGAACCCTGGCAGGTGACAACAGGCTAATTGTTACACCCCAGTGAACACATATAAGCACTTATGAGCACATGACATCTACATATGACATATGTACTGCATAGGCCAGGTCAAAACATTAGCCATCGTGCCATCTGATTGCATATCCACCTGTAATCTGCTAATCAGCCCTTCTAGGCTGGGTGATTTCCTTTGTTTCATGACCAACACAGCATGATTCCAGAAATGCATTAGGTAGATAGTTGTCCTTCTCCTGAAGCAAAAAAGAACCAGAGCAGGAAAACTCTATTCTGCTCAGCTCTGCTTTTCCTTACTGACCCAAGGTGCCAGGTAAGTCACTCTGGTTAAACGGTAATAGAGAGCTGTGCACCCAACGTGTTGGAATCCCTCTGTAAATTACCTTCAGTTGGAAGGATGATTTCTGCTTTTTGTTCTGATGGAGCAAACTGAATAATGACTGACAGCTAAGGAGCAGCTCGCAGTGATAGAGCCGCCGTATGCAAACACTCATTTGGAATTCATAGATGTCTTAATGAATACTAACGACTGGCTGAATAGCTAGAGATTACAAACAACACGAGATCGCAAACAGCCGCGGAATAGAAGTGTTGGCTGTTAGAAGTCACCCCATCAACAACTCGACGCAAAGCCCCGCTTTGTCCTCGGCAGCGCTGCCGTGTGCGGCTCCGCGGGGACACAGTGACCTCCTCTGTTGGGACGCGGCGGCGGTGCGGACAGAGCCGTGGTTCCGTGCGGGCACAGCGATTCCTGCCAGCCCGGACCGAAAGCGAAGGGATGGGACGAGGTGCCACCAAATGCCATCCCTGCGGAAATGCTGGCTGCTGCTGCTGCTGCTGGCTGCCGCGATGCTGGAGCTTCTTCAGCCTCTGCTCGAGTCTCTGATAGCTCCTGGTGTGAAGATGGCTTCTGAAGTAATGAGGAAGAGGCTCAGCTTTGGCTTCATGCATGTTTCTGGGCTTGCAAAATTTCATTGCTTTGCTTTTTGTTCGCTGTTCTTCAAAGACGGACAAAACGTATCAGACTTCTCCAGATTAAAAAAAAAAAAAGGCACTGGGGCAGATTCTGCAGCCTTAGTTTCTGGTGCTGCCCTGCACACCCCTCCCTCACCCCCAGGTGAGCTGATGGGACCCGGAAGGCGTTTTCACTCCTGCGTGCAGAGCATGCACTGCATGCATGGGTTTTACCGTGGCCGGAGCTTCGTCCTGGAGTACTGCCGGCAGAAATATACGTTCAGGCAAAAGTTATTCCCTTAACTATGAAAAGCCAAGCAAGAGGAGGGAGGAGGAGGCGTGAATCGACTCCCTGCAGCCGGAAGTGGAGGGCAGTGAGCCCCCGGTTCGCAGGTCGTGGGTTGGACAGGGCGAGATCTGCAGCAGGGCAGCGCCCGGGCAGCTGTACCTTTCACCTGCTGCCTGTGAGGGGCACAGGCATCGCTGCCTTCCTCCACCTGCCCGGGGACACTCGGGGCTGACTTCTAGTTGGGCGTTTACTTCCACATTTCGATACTGGGGCAGAGACCGTCAGCACTCCCCACGGCCTGTCTCTGGGGGGATGCTCTGGGGGAGACGCAGAGATGTTCCTAGCGGGACGCGTGGGGATACTCCGGAGGAATGGGGGGAACTGAGGGGAAAAAGAAACGAGTGAATGGCAGCATTCCGTGCGAGCGGTGCGGGACGCACCCGGGGGCCGCAGGGACGCTCGGAGCGGCAGCGGCGGGGAGCGCGGGGCTGCACCGCGGCGGGGAGGGAGGCGGGGCCGGACCGGGGAGGGGAGGGAAGGACCGGCAGCCCCGCGGCTGCGGAGAGGCGCGGACCATGGAGAGCGGCGGGGCGCTGAACGGTTCCGCCGCCGCCTCTGGGCGCTTCGCAGCCGTCGGCACCGCGGCGCTGGGCGCGCTCATGGCTTTGCTGATCGCCGTCACCGTGGCCGGCAACGCGCTGGTGATGCTGGCTTTCGTGGCGGACTCCAGCTTGCGCACCCAGAACAACTTCTTCCTCCTCAACCTGGCCATCTCGGATTTCCTAGTAGGTAAAGTGCCGCCCGTCGCGGAGCAACGCGCCCGAAACTTCGTGGCGAGGGCAGCCCAGCGCGGGGCCATGCCGCTCTCCCGGCCGCAGCCCCGGGGTTCCGTCCCGCAATGCGCCGCCTCTCCCCGACCCCACTGCCCCGCAGCGCCCGGCGGAGCACAGCCCTGGGGAGCGCACGGGCGGCGGCGCTGCGGCAGGTCACGGCCCCGCGTGTCCGAACAAACGGAGCCCTCTGGTTGCAGGTGCCTTCTGCATTCCTTTGTACGTGCCCTATGTGCTGACAGGGAGATGGATCTTCGGGAGAAGCCTCTGCAAACTCTGGCTGGTAGTTGATTACCTTCTCTGCACCTCTTCGGTCTTCAACATCGTGCTGATTAGCTATGACAGATTCCTCTCGGTGACAAGAGCGGTGAGTCCTGGCACGGCAGCTGAGAGGGGAATAACTCACTTCTGCTTTGTTCTTTGTTAATTAAAAGCTTTCTGAATCGTCCACAAAATTGTTAATCTTTCAGCCCGGTGATTGGAAAGAAATGATTATCCACAAATACCTAATTCAGTTGTGGCTTCCAATGAGTGTTTCTGGCATATTTAACCAGATCCCACTGTGCAGATGTTCCTTTGCAGAGGACAGGAAGGCAGACCCACTATAAATTGCAGAGATCTGTCATCTCCGGGGCAGACAAGCAGGTTGCAGACTGAAAGCTAGGGAGATTTCATTGCCAACTTCAGCAGGGCACTGTGCTCAGGTCTGTGGGTACTGTGAGGTGTGAAAACAGCCTTGCCCAGGCCGATCAGAGCCACAGCTGCTCGATTTCTCCTTGACTCCAACTACAAACGTGGGTCAGCTGCACGGTGCCTGGGTTCAGAACAAGGCAGAGCTGAATGCCTGGTGTGTGATGCATGCCTGTCTCCAGGAGATGCAGCTTGGCTGGGGACAGCTCAGGCATATGTCTGGGAGCAGCAAATTGCTGGGCTTGAACCAAGGCTGTACATTTCCACTGAGCAGAACTCACGTCTCTTTCTGGTGCTGCAAGATGAGGGTTCTGTGTCTTCCTGGCAGGTGTGTGATATATCCAGCAATTGCTCGTGCTGCCTGTGACATGTGAATTTGTTACACTGCTGTGATATTGCCTTGCAGCTTTACCAGAAATGCCAACAGTGTGTTTGTGAAGTGCCTCAACCAGTTGGTGTGTGACCATGCTTATGGGAAGGTTTCCTCATTGCAGATCTCCTACAGAGCCCAGCAAGGCAACACCAAGCGAGCAGTGCTGAAGATGGTGATGGTGTGGGTATTAGCATTCCTGCTTTATGGACCTGCCATTATCAGCTGGGAGTACATCTCGGGTGAGAGTATCATACCTACTGGGGAATGCTATGCTGAGTTTTTCTACAACTGGTACTTTCTCATGACAGCCTCCACACTGGAGTTTTTCACCCCTTTTATCAGCGTAATGTTTTTTAACCTGAGCATTTACCTGAACATACAAAAGCGTACCAAATTACGCCTGGATGTTTTCCATGAAGTGCACAACCAGCCCTTCACTGAAGAGATGGAAATGAGCCCAGAAACAAAGTTTGCTTCGAAATGCTACAAGTGGGAGCAGAAGGAGCCAGCTGAAACCCTTGGCCTCTCTAAGAGTGAAGCACAAGCAGCAGGTTCCACCGGTGCAAAAGACCTACTGACAGCCAGCTCGGGGAGATCCCAGTGCTGCAACAAAAAGGGATGTAAGAATTCAGCATCCACACTGTCCTTAGAGAAAAGGATGAAGATAGTCTCCCAGGGCATGACCCAACGCTTCAGGCTCTCCAGAGACAAGAAAGTAGCCAAATCGCTGGCAATCATTGTGGGTATTTTTGGCATTTGCTGGGCGCCATACACCCTCCTTATGATTATCCGTGCTGGCTGCCACGGCCACTGCATCTCTGACTACTGGTACGAGACTTCCTTTTGGCTGCTGTGGATCAACTCAGCTGTCAACCCTGTCCTATATCCTCTCTGTCACTACAGCTTCAGAAGAGCTTTTATGAAACTCCTCTGTCCAAAGAAGCTGAAGATTCAGCCTCATGATCCCTTGCAGAACTGCTGGAAATGAAGCTGTCCTCGGGCGTGGGAAAGCCTTTGTATCACAGGTGTAGTATTGCTTCTCCAGAAGCTGGGATCACTGCTCTGCAGCACATGAGGAAGGCAGCTGGGAGATCACTGTTAACTTATGCCAGTTCATCACCAACAAAACCAAGCAGAACAGAGGAGGGAGGAGGTTGGGTTTTTTCCATTTTAACATTATCCATAGGCAGTGATGTCTTCCACCTGCACAGCAGAGCTCTGCTGCCACCTAGTCAGCCTGAGCAGCACCAACATTTTGTTGAAATAAGAAACCCAGAAAATAAATACCTACTCCAAACCCACCGGACTAAACTCATATTTAAATCATTAAACTAAAGGTTACATGATTGCAAACCTGATTTTTACTGAGAATGGGTTTTGTTTTGTTCTCTTTACACTTATTACAAGACAATACAGCAAGAATGAACCACAGAAAGAAAAAATGCCTCACTTATCATTACTACTACAGCAGCCTCAGCCATAACGTAGATCCTCACTGCATATGGTGCAAGGTATGTCCTTTCCACTCTCCAAGAAGGGGCACATCTCTGCTGCAGGGAGTCTACAGCCAGACTGAGTTTACAGCCAGGCAGGAGACCTTGGTCAAGCTGATCCAAGCAACACAATTATCACTTTTTAATTTTCTTTTTTAAGCAAACAGCCAGTTTTTCCACAGACAGATCATCAGATTCAAGAGACCAGGGCTCTAACCCAGCATGAGATATTGGGCATTTTATTTCTGCTTCCCATCTCATTCTTCGTCATACTTGCCCACGTAGACTCAATGAGCTCTTTGGGAACAGGCAGTATGACCACAAAACAAAAGACTAACTCCCATCTCTGCTGGCACTGCTCACTGCTGTAGTAATACAAATACATCATCAGTTGCCATGGCAAGCACTTGTGTTTAACAGTATTGCAAAGGAAGCTTGAGATCATAAGTCTGAAAACTACATTTATAAATGGAAACCCAATCGCTGTGAAGTTGTACCCACAAGCTTATGATGCTGTGATTGCCAATTACACTTAGCTGTTGTAAACAGTTACTTGGCTGTTGCTAGGAATAAACAAAAATGCCATCCTACTTTATTCCAGTGATGTTTGTTGAGTAGATCAATATTGTCATCTGAAGTCAGATTTAAATGATGTCTTGTTCTGTGAATATGATATTGCAGTCTTGTGACAAGTTCCGTCAGGCCATAAAATATGAACTCAAATACATGTTTTGAAGTGTACTGAAAAGTATCAGTGTGCACTGCTGAGCCTGGTGTACTTTCCTGTGTCTACAATCTTCTGAGAACGCCAGTAAAGTACTTTTATACAAATATTTCATGGTAAGCAGGACATTGTTAGAAATTATGAAATCCAACTGAAAGCAAAACATGTATGTATTTGTCTGAAGAGACAATTAAAGCCAATAAAGAAAAGGCTCCTGAAACAGCTGCATTTCTTTTACTGCTGATTAAATGGGGTCTGGACGTCACACAAAGTTGGTGGTGAGAGCGTGGCACTTAATTCTTTCCGACTGTAGTTCTCTTCCAGAGCACGTTACATGCAGCCTACTTCTGAAAAGCTTACTTTAAATCCTTGTGACTCATGCAATTCACTCAACTGCCTAAAAAAGACAAAAATCATAATCACAGAATCATAGGGGCTGGAAGGAACCTCTGGAGACCAGCTAGTCCTACCCTGTGCTACAGCAGGTTCCCTGCAGTGGGTGATGTGAATGAGGGCCCAATTTCCAGCTGTCTTTCTTTCATTTGTTCATAAAGAGAGAAAAGGCTACAAGGTCCAGCCTGATAAAAGTTACATTACACCTACAGAAAAGGGCAGAAGAGTTGTTGGTTCTGTCATACCTGGTATTAAATAGCAGCTTTCATGTTTTCATCCTTTTATCTATCTTTTACCAGATAACTTATTTATCATTTTACCAGAAAGGAAATTTAACAGAAAATATTAATCTGAAAGAACTCTTTCTGTTCTGTGGCTAACAGGTAGATCTCTGACAAATTAGATGTGAGAATACTTTCCACACTATGGTTTGTTTCTTACTGACCAAATGAATTCACAAATGAAGAATTCACCAGTCTTTCCTATATGAGACATTTACCTGAGTAAGGATGGACTGCTAATTGAGCTTCATAGTGGAATAAAGCAGGGAGATGTCACAGGTGGCTGGTGCTGTTTTTCCTTCCTCCACATTGCAATACACATTAACGTGCTATAAGACCAGAGCTAAGAAACTGGGAGCATATGGTTACCAGGTTCTTTTTCCTCTTTCTATAAAACTGTTCCTTCCTAGAGTTTAAATTCACTGTATCAAATTAAAAAAGAAAGAAGAGTTGCCACTCCTTGCTGGTTTTCCTGCGTGTGATGAGCTGAGCAAGAAGGCATTTAAAAAGAAAGTTGCAACTGTTTGTCTGAATTCTGAGAACCGTTGTTTCCATTCTCAAATTCTTAGTTCATAATTAAATATTTGCATCCTGAAGATGAGCAGATTTTCTCCTACATCCGTGGTATAATTCCATTCAAGCAATGAGACCTCTTTTAATTTTCGAGGTGACTTTGCAGGGACATGGGCTGGGATTTCTTTTCCTATACATATTTGCTCAAACAGCCAAAGCTGTAAGCAACACAGTGTTGAGGCCGATAAAATGCATAATACTTGTAGAGTTGATGGAGATTGGTCTTGCTCCCTGTGATCCATAAGGCCACGCTGTACTACGCTGAAGTCCATGTGCCATCTCTGCAAGTGCCACAAATCCCTGAGTCCCACTAGTGACATCAGTGTATTTCTGTATCATTTAGAACCCCAGTGCTGCTTTTCTCTGAGCTGTCAGAATGGACCAAGGATTTTGGTCTTAAAGTCCTTTCCTACTGAGTAAAGAAATGGACAGGTTTCACTGTAAAGCTTTTGCATGGTATTTTTACGGTCTCTGACTGCTGTATGTGCAGGAGATGCTCAACACATTTTCAGATAAGAACTAGGTGAACTGCAACCATAAATCCATCCTAAAAAGAACATTGGTTTCTCCTGTTTCCCTTTCCTTATCTCCCTGGATTTCAATAATGTTTCCATCACACCAACAATGCTTTAATTGCATGAAAGTGATATCAAGATGAGCAAAAAACAGCCCCCAAATTAACAGAAGTTATTTAATAAGATAGGAGCAGTGCATTATTTTGCTATAAACTAGTTTCTGGGAAAATATAATTTGGGAATCTTGTAGAATTCTTCATTGTAATTATCTTCTTGTACGAGAGATTGCACACGGCCATGCGTGTACCAACATGTGCACAGATGATTGGAGATAAACCTGTGCTTCAGTGATTAAACACATTCATGCTTCTTTAATTCCTGTGAAAGAGGACAATATGAGTTTGTGGGTTTGCAAAAGCAGGGTTTGGATTTTCAACATTATGAAGTATTTGAAGTGTAAAGGAGTTGTTCAAGATATGCTGCAGCCATTAGCAAAGTGAAGGTCATCTGTGCATGTGCAGCTTCAGCTCAACAGCACAGAAGACATCACATTCAAGTGCCTTTGCAGCCCTGGAAGGCCAGGCTTCCATACAGCCCTACTCAGTACACAGGTACTGTATGGACCAAAAGGTTGAGGTAAGTACTGAAACATCAACTGTTCAGCAAATAAAGTTTTCCTTGATTGTTATGGAGAGGTTATACGTATCTTCAGCCATCGTTTTCAAAACCCCTCTCTGTCTGTGTCCTGTGGTTCTAAGAAATGACTTCTGAGAATCAGCTAAACTTAGCTGGAAGTTATTTCACCCCTGGCAGATTGTTCAGGCAAGATGCTTGCATTCCTTCCTGGAACTAAAGCTCCCGCCTTGCCAAATACAAAGGAAAACCAAGGACTTATGCCCATATATGAACTCACACCCAAGCCTGCTGTTCCAACTGAAGACTTTTGAGCTGGTTTGAACTTTCAGAGCAGCTGATGACTAATTCAAACACGGCTAAAGGAATATATGAATTCCACTGATTATTAGTGTTCAGATTATAAATGTCTATGTGCACTTGGCTTAGGAGCCTCCAGGCATAATTAAAAATGAACTGTGAAAACAACAGAGCCATTACACAATGCAGGGCTTCTCATCAACTATCCTAGCAAAGCACTTGGATACTTTTGCTACCAAGCCTGCAGAACAGTTGCTCTTTTGCTACTGTCTAGACAGAAACCAAGCAGATTGGATCTGTTTTCCATAAAAAACAAGAAGGATGGCCAACTGTAATTATAATATGCATCAAAGATATGTGGAAGCACATAGGCATAGGGGAAAAAAAAAAATACAGCTATTTCCAGAGAGAAATACCCAATTTATGCCTGCAGTGTTAGTAAATAGTATTCACACATTTGTAAATAGTCCCCGGTTGTTTTTGTTTTAAGAAACAGGCTAGGTGACCTGATGTAAGACCTGCTGTGAGACTTGCTGGGAGGTGATGCCAACGCTCTTCTCTTAATACAAACCTACACTCCATTAACCACAGGATGTAAAGGCAAAAAAAAAAAACCAAAAAACAAGGCATTAGCTCCCTTCTCAGAGCACCGTTTACATATCAATATGCTATCAAAGAAAATTTTTCAGCACAGCTACTTTCTGTGTAGCTCTGTACTGCCTCTACCCCAATCACCAGCAATGAAAGATTTCTTAATGCAGACAGAAGACCCTGCTTCCACAGCCTCTCTTCAGAGCCCTTACTTAGTTATGGTTTCTTATTTGTTCTCCCCAACCTGTAGTTCTATAAATGGCTTCATTGTTCCAGAGACACGGCTGAAGCTTCATTAGCTAGCACAGGAGGCAACAGGAGAAGAGATAACACAAGCAGGAGCTTTTGCTGAAAAACACCTACCTGGGATAATTAATGAGATTTGCCAAGAGGGAAACTGGGAAGATGTAATTAGTACTTGTTCAAATCGGAATGTAACGGTTTCCTTCTGTGTTTATAAGTGAAAAGGCATTCTTATGGCAAAACTAGGATGGAAAGACACTAGATTAGCAGCCTTGCAAGAGAGAAGTTTAACAACGCAGCTTCTAAGAGTGAGAATTCATTTTTCACAACCCCAGCCCTGGTGCAATGATACCACGACAACTTTTAAGCACAGACCCAGTCTTGAAAGAGGCCATCTCCACTCTAAACGACTTACTGTTCAAATAGATGGAGCCGAATAAGGAGCATTATTACCTTTATTTCCAATGTAGAAATTGCAGGCAAGAATAAAAACAGTTTGCTAGCCAGCCTGGATGAGTGCCAAAAAGGGAAAAGCTTTTATTTTTATTGCTGTAGTCCAGGACACACAACTATTGCTTATTACTGGGTATTTGCAAACCACAGTTTTACTCCCTAATTTACAAGCCGCTTGCACAGTCTAAGTATAAAAGACAACCAATATTTAATCCAATTACCAAACATTATGGGCAGTGCTAAGTGTGCACAGTTGTGAGGGAAGAACAGGACTATTATTTTTCCATTTGTAAAATTCTACAGCCCAGTACAATGTAAAATGTGACTCAGATGCACCAAGCAGGACTTCTTGGTGTGCTCAAAAGGCTTTTCTTATACAACAGAAACCTGTCAATAATTCCAAGGCCCCCCACCATAACATGCAATGATTGTGTATCAGGGATGGCAAGGACGGAGCGTGAGAGGAGGAGTGATGGTGCTAGGGGTACAAACACCACAAGTATCCATCCTGTGCACGTCAATGTAAAGCTCATGACAAAAGTGGAATTTTTACAGGCAGGCTGGGCCCACAACATGACATCAGTCCTTTTAGGCATAAAAATGCACCTGTGATGTGGTATGGACTTTTGAATTCTTTTATCACAATGTGCTACAGTTTAACAGCACAATCAACACTAAGGAAACCTGCCTGCAGTGTAGCTGATCGTCTCATTCAAGATATCTCAGCACTCACAAACAACAAGCTCTCTTCTAGAAGGGCAACAACAGTTCTGGCAAACACTTTAGCTGTTAAGTAACAGCTCACACACAGCTTCAGTCATTAGAAGCTGTTTATTGAACAACAAACAATGATAGGAGTTGCACAGAGAATTCCTTGAATGTTAAGCTGCACACAGACCCTGCAGTGTTCCTGAACTGGTGATGGATTGACAAAGCAGAGCTATTACCCTCTATTGTGAAAATAATTTACTCCTTAAAAAGCACAAATTCAACACACCATTGCAGCTAAAACACTGTTTAATATCTGATAGAGCTTATATTCAAAATCATGTGGATACAATGATATGTAAAATACTGGCATGCAGCCTATGTTAAACACTCTCATGACTTGGAATTAAGCTGTTATTCAAAAGCTTTCATGAAAGTAACAAGTGGAAAGATTCTTTGTTGTTGCTGCTTATACTTCTAATCTATACTGTGGTTGCAAACTACTCTCCAGAAGCATATGCACAGAAGAATGCTGATGCTTATTCCAGAGTAAGGTAAAGACTGAGGTCAAACGTGCACTGATGGTGATCACTGCAAGGGCAGAGCAGAAAGGCAGATCAGAACCTCAGCAGAGGATCAAAGTGCCCACTGCACCCTTTCTGAGGTTCTCATTGGGAAGACTTCATGTGGACAGAAGCGTGCAGAACAATTCATTAAGAGCTGAAATCCCTCAGAAATTCCCACTGGAAATCCCACATGTTCCCAAGCTGTTTCAAAATGGCCATCTCAAAAATGCTTTCTGATAATACAGTTCTTTGAGTAATTTGCCCGGAACAAACAAGAAAAACAATCCTCTTTCATTCACCCCTTGAGAGCTAGCCCCAGTTCAGTGATCAAAAGACTAAGAACAGGAAAATCAACTATTTATCGTCTTCATATCAAGTCCCTTGAATAACTGTTTTCATCTCAGCAATTAATTCACCTAGCACTCACTTAATAGAGGGCCATTCAATCATAATTTCTGGTCAATATTAATCACTCACAAATGTGGCATGAAAAGACATAAAGACAGCAAGTAATGCAACAGAACTGCCTCCTCCAGACCAAAGTGTGCTGAAACACGAGCATCAGTGAGCCTAAATGCAAGCTATACAATGGCCAAGGAGGTATTTGTTCTGACAGGATCCAGAAAAATGGATATATTAATTATCAGGAAGAAGAGCAAGCACAAAACACGGAATGAGTTTATTCTTTATTCCATTACATCTGTGACGCTCGTCAATTATTTTTTCCATTAATATATAAATACTGAGGCTGTATTAAAATGAAAGCAGGCAGAGTTCTATTTTTTGCTTGAATATTCACTAAAAGCAAATTCCAACTTTTGTACTCATTCATCAATAATGAGTGAAGTAACCTAGTTAGTTACTTCTAATATTGGTTTTGTTCCAGACTAAACACATTAAGAAATTAACTCCTGTAGCACTAACTTAATTTAGTCTTAATACAGAATTCTAGAACTGTCCTACACTAATGAGTTTCATGAGCCATATGAATATATTTAGTGAGCATTAAAAAAAGTCACTATCTTTGGAATGCTTAACGATAATTCACATGAATGAATAGTACCAGTTAATAAACTGATGTGGCAAATCCTGTTTTGTATAATGTGGAAAAAAATCTCAAAGCCTGCAGATGTGAAGGAGAGAGCAGACAAATATTTTCTAAAATAATCCATTGTAAAATGTAAAAATGTCCATTTCAGGCAGTGACCTTTTACTAGGTCATTTTTTTTTTACATGTGATAAATGTGTGTCCTGTCTGGACAAAGCAAACTAGCTGCCCAAACTCATCTTCCTCATCCCTAATAGCAGAAAACAGCAGGAAATGAATAGCCACCCAACAGTATGATTGCATGAATAAGATAATCAAAATATGGATAGCTCATCTGTACTATCACAGATATCATCTTGACAATCAGCATATAAGGAATTATACTGCCTCATACAAATATTTTTCTTCATAAGCATTTTCCATTTGTAGTGGAAGATTAATTTATCTAGATTTGCACAGTGAATAGCCAGCTTCTATCACTGGTTGATTAGTGTGCACACAAAGGATGCAATGGGTGGGAATTCACACATCCTTGGGAGAACAGCTACGTTCCTTTCTCAATGGAAATTAAGCACTGAGGAAGCAAGTGTCAAGATTCAAATTAAAAAAACATATTATTATGACTTTTGCCATGTGGTGGTAAAATCCAAAAAAACCCTTGACGTTTTCTAAGATATCGACTGTTACCACACATCTATGGAGTGTGGATTTCTCTGATTACGGAGATAAAGAGGCACCTGCTGAGGATTTGAACAACAGAAGATAATTTGTTCTGTGATTGGTTTTTAGTTTCACTTTGTAATCAGCATTAATATGTCTGGATCTAAGTGCACTACTCATTTTAAAAGGTGATTCAGCCTTTATAAAACATTTTCAGCATATATGAATAAGTACAAAGTTTTTCATGTTTTGTGTCTTATTTTACCCAATACCCAAGACATCTGAACATGCTGCAATGCTCCATTTCAGTTAAAAAAACCCAACAGTCTGGACCAAGGTCACCAATGCATTATGCCAGCGTGACTCCAATTAAAATTAATGGAATGTTACCAGAATAAAATGGATTGTAACAAAGTTACCCATTATCTCTTATTTAAAATGAGCGTGTAGAGATGAACACATTTTTAAACCATAATTATATGGTCCAGTAGTATGACTGGCTTGGTGTCTTGGCTCCAAGAACATGGAACACACGAACACTTCTATCTGGGTGATGAATAGCAGAATAGCAAAAAGCAGTCCAGCCAAGGAATGCTCACTCCAAGGATTCAAAGCAATACTTCATATCAACCAGGACAGAGGAAAAAAAAACAACCAAACAACAACAACAAACCCTGTAAGAAATCAAACACTGCTAATGCTGCCTTGGACAATTCTATTCCAGCAGAGAAAGAGGAGATGAAAAATTACTCTCAGTGGGAAAACGAAGGACAAAAACAAGCTCAGTATTAAAAGCTTGATAAAAATCTCTCTGCCTTTTTCCTACCAGCTGTATGTCAGAAAAAAATGGGCACATCCCACATAATAACCCTCAGAACCGCCTAGAAAAAAATTAGTGCAGCCTGAAGGTGTCTTTGTTCTATTATCAAGGATTATCAAATCATCCCTTATCATTACTGGCACACATATATAACCTGCCCCCCAAATATGAATAACCTTAGTCTTTCCAAACCTTTACAGCACAGGAACAACTAATCCCTGTTTAAAAAGATGGGGAAACTTAATGGAAGAAAGTTGGAAACTGCACTATGGAAGACAAAAGCCGTGTTTTAAAGGCCAGGCACACTGCAACACTGGGATCAAGTCAAGCAGAATCAAGATATCACACTTCCTTACCAATGGAAGGGATCTAAATCCCCTTTCAGGGAAATGATAGGGCTGTGGGGGGATAGAAGAGGTGCCAAGCAGAACTCACCCACTCTCGCTACATGCATCGCACAGTGGGTCCAGTAAAAGATACTAAGAGGGCTGCTTCAAAAGTAATGCCTCCTATTTTATTGGGTTGTCCCACAGCCTCAGAGGTGGATGTTGGCAGTAGAGACTGAACCTTCCTGACAATATTATTTTTCTCATAAAATGGCTTGGGTTGAAAAGGACCACAATGATCATCCAGTTTCAAACCCCCTGCTATGTGCAGGGTCACCAACCAGCAGACCAGGCTGCCCAGAGCCACATCCAGCCTGGCCTTGAATGCCTCCAGGGATGGGCATCCACAACCTCCTTGGGCAACCTGTTCCAGTGAGTCACCACCCTCTGTGTGAAAAACTTCCTCCTAATATCTAACCTAAACCTCCCCTGTCTCAATTTAAAACCATTCTTATAGTCTTATCACTATCCACTTCTATCCACTATCCATTTCTCATCTGTTCCTACCAGTGGAATGAGTTTCCTTTGTAAAGACCTTATTTTCAGAAGAATCAGAGGTTACTCCTCCGATTACAAGTTCTAGACCTTGTAAGAAGTAGTGTGTACAGGAGACCATCATAATAGAGACCATAATACTTTAGGAGCACTACAGAAAAAGGTGACTCAAGCTATCAGCTCTGCATTGGGCACAGTCACATCTATTCAGCATTACCTTAGAGACCTTTCTCAGGAGGTTACTTCATTCAGTATAGATTTATACAGAATAAGAAGGTTCAAGCTCCAACAAACACTTGTTCCAGCAATGAAATTGAAGCTATTTGGCAGTTTTTATCAACAGAGGAAGGGATATGTGCTCCTGTAAAACCTCCTTGAACCCTGTAAGCTTGTGGGTAAGAACTTGGTCTGTCATCTTAAAACAGGTGGCTATAAACATTAAGAACAAAGAAACCAATTACATGATCCATAGGACATTCTGCTGAGCTGTCCAGCAACCTGCTGTGCTGTTTGCACATCAGTACACAAAATGTTCTCCAGTGAAAGCACTGAGATGGTGTGAGCACTACAAGTCAGTGTGAGATCTCTGAGTAAAGGGTGTTTAAAATGGCCTTTGTCATTCTCAAAATTCTCAGGTACATTCAGACAGAAAGTTGAGTATCTGTCAGTACCAAACAGCTGCAAAGTTAAATGTTGCTGAGGAGCACAGAGGCCTAATAGTACTGCACAAAACCAATAAAAACAACAGAACTGAATATTAACTTCTACCTCATTCAGTCTGGTAAATCCTAGGGGATGAAGCAAGCATGAAACAAAACATGAGAGCCCCTATGGGATCTAATATTTATGGTTTTATTTTTCTTTGATCATACTTGGAACAATATCATTGTTTATTACACACAGATTGCTTCCCACACCCAATGAGATACAATTACTCAGAAAGTGAACTTAAAAGAGGTAATTACCCATTTTACTTTTTTTTACTTAATAATTCAAGCACTTAAGTTACACTTGCACTTTTTCAAAACAAAAACCTGCTGCTCTTAAGAAAGGGCACAGCCTCGCTTTCTCACACAGGCAAAGTTAGTTCTAATTCATAATCATAATCACAGATCTCATCCCAACTGCAAAAGGGTATGATTGTACAAAGACTGAACAAGACTGCTCCTCTGCAGTCACAGGCAGCCAGAGGGGGAAAAAAAGGGCAAGAAAGCCTACCTGCTAAGGATGCACCACCCAGAAGAAATGAAGTATTTGAGATGAAACTAAACAAAATGTTCCAAGTGACAGAAACAGAATTATCAGCTTTTCTGTAGAAAAAACCACTGTTCTAAATCAAAATTTCCCCATTCCTCAAGAAGAAAACTTAACACATTTTGTATACAGTGAGTCAAATAAAAAACTGTTTCCACCATAAAAGCAGAGCACTGCATTTATTTTATGACATCCAAGACACCTCAAAGGTGAATTAAAATTTTCCACTGAAAGCAGCCCAGAACAAACTCCCAAGCTCTGTGCAATACATTCAAAATAAAGAAACAACAAAGAAAACCACACATGCAGATGTTATCTAATCAAATTATGATTTTTCTTCCTTCTAGCAGTTTGTAGTAGCTCTGCTTCCTACCACTTGACTGGGCTCTGCCCTTGTGCTTGTTCCATCTTCACGTAAGTGTCATACAGCTCTTTCAAATGCAGTAACAGTTCCTCTAGGTTGTCTCCTGTCAATGCAGACAATGCAATGACTCTGTCATTTATCTGTTCTTTAAGGAATGGTAGATTAATCCTGGACTCAGCAAGGTCAATTTTATTCCCAATGACAACACAAGGCCTTGTAGACAATCCTTTTTTATACTGTTCAAGTTCATATTTTAAGTCTTGCAGCTGAATCCATGGCTGAGACACAGAGAGATCCACCACATATAAAAGAAAGCAGCATCGTTCAATATGCCTTAGGAAGGCCATCCCGAGGCCCCTGTTCTGATGAGCACCTCTTATTAGGCCAGGAATGTCAGCAACTACAGTGAGAAAAATTTCATAGTGAGTCCAACACACTTAAAACAAGGATAAAGTCTTTCCCAATCCACTGCAAGTGTTACAGAATTACACCACAACACATAAATACTAAGGATAACTAATGTTAAACTTGGCTCCTATTATTTTACACCCCTCAGATTTAAGTTATTCCAATGAAGTCAGAACTCAGATGGCTAGTTTGATATTAAGGCTACGTGTAAGTGAATGTGAAATGGGCTTTCAGTTTTTTTGTTGCATCAAGTTTGAAGTTCCATAGAAATAATTCAATGAAATTGTTAACTTCTAGAGCATTCAAAGATGAAGCTGTGTGACACAAACTGCTATCAGGGAACGCTCAGCATACTGCAATTTTTACCTGCTACTTGTTCATAGTCTTCATAGCGGACAATGCCGACGTGGGGGTTCAGAGTTGTGAATGGGTAGGCAGCCACTGCTGGCTTTGCGTTGGACAGCGCTCTCAAAAGCGACGATTTCCCAGCGTTGGGAAAGCCCACCTGGAAGACAAGCACCCATTAAAGCCACAGTTCAAGGTTCATTCCAATAATACTTAAAAAAAACCAAAAAACCAAAAAAACACAACCTTTTACAGATGTAGAAACATTCTCCCAATAGGGACAGAATATTAATTTTGCTCCTTGATTTCCCTCCTTTATTTATAGGTGACATTTCTCACAAAATAGATCAGACATAAAAAGAACTCCGTAATTTATTTTTTAGTGCAATACTGAAGCACTTATTTTAATCTGAAAAAACATTACGTCACTCTGTTCTGCTCTTCTCATTTCATCTGTGTTCTAATTTTATCTCCACACTGTACTGTTCATCTGTAGATTCTGCAGACAATACCTGCTGTACATATCAGTGAGCATTAATCACTGATGAATTTTGGACACTGCTCTTCTATAGATACAGTTAATTTTAGCAAAAGTAGGATGAAGCAGCAAGAGCCTGACAGCTCTGCAAATCACTTTGGACAGACTCCTACCAAATAACAGCAAGAAAGCATCAAGCTGCATCTCAAAGCAAGCAAGCCAAAAGGCCAATAAAATGTTATCAGACATTATTTCTTCAGTCAGTCAAATGTCATCCTACAACAGGGAAGGTGAAGAACCATAGCAACACTCACCAGTCCTGCATGAGCTGCTGTCTTGAGTTCCAGATGGAGGACCCTCTCCTGACCTGGCTCTCCCGGAGTAAAAAATGTTGGAGCTCGCTTTTCATTGGAAAGAAAAAAGCGATTACCTTTCCCTCCAGCTCCTCCATAAGCTGCAACATACTCTTCACCATGTTGAGTGAGGTCAGCCACAACTACCCCGTCCTCCTTTACCAGTGTACCTACAGGCACCTTAAAACAAAGAGAGATTAACTTCATTGTAGCATCTCCAACAGTGTTTTGCTTTCTCTAGGCATATTATCCCACGAAGCGAAAGCAAGACAGGGCTGTATTTTGGTCAGATGTACCTTCCAAATAAGTCTAATTTTGATGAACAATGAAAAGAATTTTGATCTGCTTGTATGCCAACCAGCCCTGTTCCTGCAGGGCAAAGCTCCCTGTAAAAGTGTATGAGATATGTTCTCTTCATGAGTTCATCAACCTTGAAAATGAGCAATGTAAACATAAAGCTAATATAGCAACCAGAACCTTAACTTACTTTAACATAAACACAAGCTCCATTGGCTCCATAACAGTTTTTGCTTCCTCCTCTCTCTCCATGAAAACCCTGATAGAAAGGGAGGACTGATGAAAGTGATTTTGTTTGCTGGTCAGCTGCAAAGCAAAATATGTGCATTTTAAAGACACTGTTTTAGCAGAACATGCAAAGCAGAACTCTATCTTGACTCTTCTTACTGTTTCTGAATACTACATTAATACATATCTGATTCACCGTCTCAACATAATATATCAGGGAATACTAATATCAGTGTAAGTTGTGAAGTTTAACTGCCTTTACTTATCTGCTTAGGTTTGTTAATCATGCATTTCATTAAATGGTTCATTCCAAAATGTACACAACCGTTACAAAATCCTCAAGAAAATGTAATTGGCAGATTAGCAGATTTTGCAGTAGAGTGGTAGCAGAAGCAGCCTTACCTAGCTGAAGAGTAAAATTTGTTGGGTTATTATTATGTAGCCAGATAGAAGTCACTAAAATATTTTAAAAATGCCACGATTTTTAAAACACTTCCTAGGAGACTCTTCTAAGGCTGTCAGTGTCACTTATACCCTTCTCTCCGCAGCTCAGAACAAAATATAGAAGCAAAGACAGCCTAGAGAGAAATAACCTCTTCCTTGTGGAAACAAAAAACCAAAGCAAGCAACAGGTGTAAGTTGATAAGACAACAGGAAATAAAGCAGATTTGTTGAGTTTTACCTTTTAAAATGACATGACCTCCATCACCTCCATTTCCACCGTCAGGACCTCCAAATATTTTTCTAGGTTCACTATAAAAAGATTGACCTCCTCCTCCTCCTTGTCCCCCAACCACACGCACTCTCCGGTGATCCACAAAATAGCGGGTCTGCAAAGATGATGAGATTTGTTGCCTTTAAGTACAGTTTATCACAGATACCATTCAACAAGCTAACTGCCCTACAGAACTTAACAATATGCAGATGTGCTCCTTTGGTCATGATGAGTTCCTCTAAACTGTTGTAATTCACAGAAAAATTAAATGTAGACTACAAAGTGCATCTTTGAAGAAAAAAGGAATCTATTTATCAGTATTTTTAAGAGTTTCTTTAAAACACAGAAAGTATGCTGATACAACCTAATGAAGCAGATACCAGACGTGTGCATTAAAGAGAGCTCACAACAGGGAAATTATCTTTCCAATATGATTACATACTGCTGACACAGGTAGCTTACCAGAATCACTCAGTCGTCGTGCTCTTATTCATGCAAATAAAATGGAAAAAAGACAAACAGATAAGCTTCTAAAAATTGAGCTAAAATCTAAAGAAGACATAGTGTCTGTGTGGAGGGATGTTCTCACACTGACTCATTGCTTTCATAGAATCATAGAATGGTCTGAGCTGGACGGGACCTTTAAGATCATGTAGTTCCAACCCCCCTGTTATAGGCAGCGATACTTTCCTCTAGACCAGGTTGCTCAAAGCCCCATCAAGCCTGGTCTGAGTCTTTCTCTACCTGCTTTCTCTACCTGGTGATGAAAGCAGTACACATTTCAACCTATTAACAATTGAGAAAGTTAAGGAGAGTAGGATAAGTGGAGTTACTTTTAATATCTGTCACAAGCAGTTGCTCAAGAGGTAAAGGTGAAGAGATTTTGGCCTTGTTTCTGACACGACTTTAGCATCTGGCTTCTGGCTGTGCTGTGCTTTGGCTTTCCTGCCAGCAACAGCAAGCTGAAGGCACCTATCTGTGGGAAGTGCCATAAACCCCCAGTGTAAATGTGAGAGAAATCAGAGTTGCAGCCATGCAGGCGGATGGAACGGTTCAGTCAGCGTGAATGCAGCGTGCAACTCGGCTGCACTAATGCACGAATTCTGTGAGTTACCACAGGGCTTTATATTAAGAATAAGAGTCATTTTAATCAAATAGCATGCGTGGAACAAGATAAACGTTACGATCTGAAGATAAGCAAGCGGACAAATGGAACCCGTGCACAGTGAGAGCTCCGTTCGGAGCAGCGCCGTGACAAACCCCGTCACTACAGATCTGGCACCACCACACGGCGACACGGGGAACTTGTTTTACACCGAACCGTGCCGGCGGCACTAGGAGAGAAGAAACTCCACCCAAACACGAAGAGAAGGTCCTCTGCGGCTTCTCCAGCACCAAAGGCAGGTTGTAACGCCGTGAAAACACCGACGGCCGTGCGGAGGGCAGGCGAGGAGCGGAGCAGCGCGGTGCGCAACGCAAGCACTCACCAATTTCTTTTCCGAAAGGACTCTTTTTTGCCTCAGCCGCCTGTTCTTTGAGCACGCGGCGCAACTCGTGGAGAAAGCCGGCTCTCGGCCGGGCACGGATCTCCATACTGACAGCACCCGCAGCCACAACGCGCAGCGGAGCAGCATGGCACCGCCGCGCCGGCACCGCCCCGCGGTGCCCACAGCGCATCCGCCCGCCCCGCCCCGCCCCGCGCGGTGCGCATGCGTAGCGCAGCGCCGCCGGCCGTTGGGAAAGCGCGGGAAGAGTGGGGCGCGCGTCCCCTCAGCGCGCTGTGAGGGGGATCCCCTCAGCCTGCGCCGTAAGAAAAGCACCACCAACTTCGCTTTCAGATAACGTTTAACCTAAACAATTTCCAAGCATTCTGTATTACAAAACAGAAAATGGTTACAGTTAATGAAAGAAGTCAAAATGCTGGCATCACGTTGTTTCCACATCGATACATAAAAATGGACAACACATTAAATAAACATTTTTGTTATTAACAGTTAGAAATATTAACACCAAAATCATGTATAAATTAGGAAATAAATGTACAAACTATTTCCAAAGTGCTCTTTCAAATACATTATATACACAACATTCAAGAAGTTCTTAATGTAAGACATTTCAGGTTGGTGGGATGTTGCTGCTTCGTTCCAAGTGTTGTTCGTATTCTCTCCAAAGTATTTCAGCACTTTCAAAAGCCGTGGAAAAGGCTGGCCAAGAGCAATATTGCATTCTGGCTACCTGTGATATTAATATAGCGCGAAGAAAACAAACCTACTTCCTTTCCATTCCTTGATATTTGAGAGTACTTATTTGTATGAAAACACCAGCAGGAAAGATGAATGAAATGAGGACGGGCTGAAAACGCCTTCTGTTTTATCAGTAATGAAAGCATTAATGTTGCAAGGGCAGTGCTTTGACAATATCCCATTGCAAACTGTCCACTTAAAGACTTTTCTCTACAGGAATAGACGTACTGAAGTGAGAGATCTTTTGTTTTACTGTGGTCTTGGTTTTTCAAAACACAAAGTGCTAGAACTCAAAATCCTGTAAGTATACCAGTTTAAACAAACAAAAATCCTACAGCAAAAGGTAAATTTACAGCATAAATTTCCAATTAATCTCCTATTAAAAACTGCTCATTGATTATAACCATCCTACTCTCACCACAGAGAAATTTGAACATGTTATTTCATTCGTCAGTTACAGAAGCACTTCATAAGTGCTTTATTCAACACTATAGGGACATATAAAACTGAATGGAAGTGACTTCAGATGCTCAGACTGGCTTTTACATACCTCTAGTTCATATTTCTAGATTCTCCCTCTATAGGTATTCTCTCACCAGTTGATCCCATTAACAATTCCCCCTCTATATGCATAATATTGTTTCACAATCAAAGCTGAATTTGGTTGCTTTTCTGCCAATTAAAAAAAAAACAAACTCTTTTTATTTCTGAACTATTTCTGTTAAGCTAAAGAGAAAAAATACTGTCAAGAAGCATAAAAACAGTCAACAACAACAATAAAAAAAAAAAAGACAATATTTATGGTTATAATTCTTGCTGGAAAATTTCAGTAAGGGCTATGGGAGAATCAGAAATAAAGAAGAATGCCAGCCACCTGCTTGTGAAATTTGGCATGAAAATGTATGTGCAAGTTATAAAATTTGGAGTAGCATATTTAAGACTGAAAGTTTGCCAGATGTTTTCTCAGCACCACATGAAGCAATACTGACATCTAGTAGGATGACACTGCTTCTGTTTTTCTTTCTATGACAGAAATACCTTCGTTTACGTGGATATATAAAAGGTGCTACTAGTGATTAACATTTCCTTGAATATAGGTTTTGGTCATCTTTCTGTACCTTTTACAACAGAAGTAATGGACATACGCAGATTATTGAATGATAAGACCTGGGTAGTTTGCCCAGTAGGTACTGCAGAAATTGCAGTTAATTTTATTTTTATAGCATGGAACTCTTCACATAAGGAATGAAACCTTTTCCTTATGCTTAAGAAGTGAAGAGCCATGGATTTCAGAGGCTGGCAGGTAACCTGCAATGCATTTAGTTTTAAAAAGGTCGATAACCTACCATAGGACACTTTCCTGGACTGAGATATGACTGAATGGCTTCGTATTTAGTTAGAGTGCAGAATAACCTGGCATTTTGTCAGAACGGGGCACAACTGTGATCGAATGATCCTAAAGCTATTTAGAAACATCAAGAACGGGGGGAAAATTAAAAACTTCTGCGTTGTATCAACATACAATACTATACACAGCACCAAATATCAAACCATTAAAGCATTGTCTTGTTACCAGTAGTGCACTGCTTCATATCCAGCATGAAATGAACACTGTTCACATACAGACGCTGCTTTGTGCTAAGGGGTAACCAACATATTACAATTAATCAAAACTGCCAGTACATCCAGTTCAAAAGATGGAAATACTATTGAAATGAATCTGACACAGGATCATATTCTTTTATTGCTGGTAATTTCCATATTGTCCCTAGGGGAAAAAAAGAGAGAGAGAGAGAAATATAAATGTCGGAGAATAATATATCAGAAATTTATAAACAGAGAGTTAATTTTCTGCTGGTTTATAAATTCTGAAAGATCCATTCAATATGTCTGCACCAAAATACCAGATAGATTTATGTGCAGAGCTAACAGCTAAATCTGCTTTTTTATAGCAGAAATTTAGACAAATTTACCTGCTCGTAGCCATAAGGCCTCTGCTGCTGAGCGGATGGTCCTGTCTGAGAAGTTCTGTAACTCCCATATTGCTGCCCCTGTCCCTGTTGGTAGCTGGAATACTGTGAAGATGCTCCTTGTGCAGGACCTGAGGAGACAGAGACATTTACTGATAGGAGTTCATTTGCTACAGGGAATTCTTATGGTTAGTAAAATGTAAAGCATGAGGGTAATAAAATAAGGTTAGTGAGTATATACTGCAAGACAGTCCCTTGCCTTGATACTAGTATTTAGAATATCCTTGTTTTCTCCAGTCCATTTTTGTACTGATTAACCTGAAATGGTTTCTTTCTTCCAGAGACCAAGGATGCCTCCAACTGACCAGTGAACAGTTCAAATCTAGTTTGATGACAGTGAAGAGCGCTGCTCCGGCAATGAGAAAGGTTCCAAAGCCCTCTGACAGCATTAGCTGTATGTTCAAATCACTTCCACTTTTTTTCTTTTCACCTTATTTCCTCACCAAGGATTAAAACCTTTGCACGATGTTGCAAAGAAGTAGCGGTTCTCTGGATTGTTGATGTCAGTTTGGATTGTCTGAATTGTTTTTATGTCAGTTGCAAAACTATTAGATGTGTAGGAGGCATGAGAATTCATGCAGTGACCTTCTACCAACACCTCCCAGTCAACATGAGGCACGAGTACTTTATAACTTTCTCAAGTTATCAAGAAAGCAAGCAATGGGATGCTAACATAACAGTTTGGAATGCAGTGCTATATTAATGGATGTTACTGCCCAATCTCTTTTCATGCTATGCTGTTTGGCTAGTTATAGTATGTGCATGGCCAAGGATCATCAATAAAATTGTTTACAGCATAGTTTAGGTGAGGAATGGAGGCATCAAGATGAAGTACTGCAAATACTTGACCAGTGGCAGTTTTACCATATCCTTGCTGTTGTCCTGGGTAACTTTGTTGATTCGGGTATTGCTGCTGGGAATATGTTTGCTGTTGTGCAGCTCCCTGTTGGTATCCTGCCTGCTGCTGGCTGTACTGAGAATTTCCTAAAGTGGGAAAAATTGACACAGTGTGGTTATGCTTGTAGCAGATCTTCCTCTGTTCCATCTCTAGTAAGGAGCCTTGGGATGGAGCTCATAGACAGGTACTCTTTTCAGAAACAGATATTTGCATTTTGCCAGTCACTATGAGTTTATTTCTCTAATGACTTTTAGTTCTTTTGAATGGGAGGGAGTTGTTTATTTATACACATCATTAAATCAGTGAATAAGCAACCTGCTCCCCAAAGGGTTTTTTTCTGCTAAAGTGTTTCAAAAGAAGAAGGCAGAACCATAAAGACCAGGGTGCCAGGGTAAACAGTTGGTTTCTCAAAAAGCCCTCCCAGTGTATTTTGTTCCAGATAACTATGTTTATTCATATATCCCAGAAAGACAGCACATTTAGTTGTCACTGATTTTTAAAAACAACTACAATGGAAATTCCATTTGCAATATCCTAACAAAACAGAATGAAATTCTATCTGGCTCAGCTACATCTGAGGATATTTTTTTTTAATGAACATGAGACTGTGCACAAGCTAGCAATGATCCCACAAGGCTGCACAGCAGAACTACCTCACCATACAGGTACTGACATGCTGCATACACAGTCTGATAATGGTGTTGGTATAACAGTGCTATAATAGCTAAATTTTGTCTCCTGGACACTTAAATAATAGCTAAGTAGCAGTTCAGTAACGTGTGCAGTGCAAGTCATATTTTACATTTCCATAAGCATGCTGTTTCCTTAGTATTTTAGGGGGCTAAAGCTTTGGGTTACAAAGATTCCTGATATTTTCCTACCTCCTTCATAATAGTGTTGTGTAGAGTCATCAAATGACCTGTCATAGCTCTGCTCAGTATAGGATGACTGCTGATAGGCATAATCACCATGTCCTGTAAGAAAGTGCAAAGATTTATCAGATACATTGTTAATATAACTATATATATATGCTGTTGAATACATACATTACGAAGCTGCTTATGCATAAATATGGGGCTAAGAGAAAATAATCCAACCTAAGACTGAAAGTTGAGTATGTAGCAAGGAAGTTACACCTACAGATCAATCACTAGCATATACTAATCCAAACTGGGTTTCATGCCCTTTATGCAGCAGTTTGATAGCAGTGTGCACTAATATGTATGTGTCTGTATGCTGCTTCCACGCAGGGGAATTAGAATGTTCTAGCACTTAAAGTGGAAACAAATCCTAATGTGTTTGCCATGTCTTTGGATGTGGCAGTCGTGCTGGTCTACACTATATCAGCACTACAGTGACACCAGTACGGAGGAATTACCATCTGGATAATATTGCTGATTCATAGGTTCTGAAGAGCCTTGTCCATGACTGTACTGTTCACTGTAATATTCCTCCTGACCCATGTACTGCTGTGAGGAACCTGCAAGGCAAAGATGAGAGAGCACACTGAGCCCATGCACAACTGAGTGATGTTTGTTCTTCCTTTTTTTTTTTTTTTTAAGAGAACAGTATGTACATCTTGATAAGTAAACAGGCTATGTATGTTGAGAGCAGTTTCAAAAATGTTTTGCTCACTGGAAAAAGGAAACAACTTTGTATTTTTAGAAAACAAAGCTAGTTGAAATTGAAATTATGCAACTGTCAGTAATAGAAGTCCTAAAACCACCCTCTTGTATGGCAATATCAAAAGTAATGGCAACGTTTCATCTACTAATCTGAGATATTAGAAAGCACAGGAATGTATTCCATGCTCATGAACATAGTTAGAGTTAAATATATTTCAATTAGCGTATTAATTTGTTTCTTAGCAAAATTCAGTTTATATTAGAATCAGTCTAGCAGCTTTGTTACCTCTTAGAACTTTTTCCAGAGAGGTGTTAGAGCATGGTGGTATTCTTCTGGTGTTTTCCTTGCTTTGGCCTAATTTTTCCTATTAATTGCTGGCACATTCTATCTTGTTTGCAGAAATGAGTTCCTTGTTAATTGTGCCATTTTACGGCTGATCCAATACCATTCAAAAGAAATGAAAAGGTTTCCAGTTACTTCAGTGAGCTGTATATCAAATTGTTCATCTTTTCTTTAGAGGTGCACGGTTTCTTTTAGACAGAATTATTTCTAAACACCTGAAATAGTTAAATAAACTTGAAAAGAGATTAAAGTTCTTCTGATTGTCAAGGTACTTCCAGCATTTCAGATTTCCTTTCTTTCCATATGGGATTCCTAATGCATAAAAGTGACTTGGAAATCTTGTCCTGCCTACCCCACAGGGTGGACGGAATCTCATGGAACTACTGCTACCACCAGCAGAAAGCTAATCATAGATCTCACCTTGCTGTGAAGCTCTGTAGGGGCCCATTGGTCGCTGACCCATCATGCTGTTGCCCTGGTTGCTCTGACTCATCATGGCAATGGAGGACTGCCCCTGGTAATGCTGGCTCCCTCCTTGTGCTGAGTTGTAATGTGATGTTGCTGCTTGCTGGTGCATCATGGAGACTACAATGTACATGGAAAATCTGTTTTATAAAGGGATACGATGGTTCTCTCCCTAGTCTCTTTGGAAGCAAGTTAAAACATTCAACTAAATTACATCCTGATAATTCTACGAATTTTCCACAGGGGGAGATGTTTTCCTACTCTATACATTGAGCTCTTCTTCAGTGTAATCCAACAAGGATGCTATTACACATCAGTTCTTGCCATTTGTTTCAGTCACAGATTTGACAACACATTTAACTTTGATTTCTGCTAGTTTTTTTAAAAAGAATGCAATCATTACTGGAGTAGGATTAAAGAAATAAGAACTGATATTTGTTCCCAGTTCTTTCTGACTCATTCATTGCTGTATTTGTTCTCAAATCAATTATTTTTTTCTAATCCCATCTCATTAAATTTCCAATGATTATACAGTTTAAATAAACTGACATCTTAGGATTGATTTGCCCCCTATATTTCTGAGAGAACTAACATTGGACAACCCATTCAATACTCAGCAGCAATCATTTTTACTGGTCAAGAGACAAATTCGGAGCTGTCTGCTAGTCTCTCTCTATGCCCTTCAAGCAGTGTTAAGTATCACTATAAAATCACAAAAACGTGGCAGTAATGTATAAATGATAAATGTGCAATACTCTGGCTGACAGCTCCTTCAGATATGATAAAGGCGCCTTTCCAATCCCTCCCACAGCTGTGAGATTTGCTGCCGGGGCCTATCAGGGAGTGCTGCCACTCTTTTAACTCTGTTTTCTACCACTTGTTGTTAACTGTGGCAAGTCAACGTCAGTTAAAACAGGTCTGAAACTGTTCTGCAGCCTGACACATTCAGAGACATCCTAAAGCTTTTCTTCTCGCATGTTTGTCCTTGTTTACAGAAATATTTATGGAACACAGTCACGGGGGGTAAACCTCTGAGGTCACTGAAATGTCGAGTTGGCTCAGAAGGAGGAAGAGGGAGTTTACCTGGATTAGACTGCATGTTGATGTTTGTTCGAGAGACATAATTGCCTATCGACCCCTGGCCTTGCATTGGCACATTCTGAGATGCAGGCACTGTATGGCTATAACCAGGCCCAGTTCCATGACTGCTGACACTCATACTCAGAGAGGTTGTGGGCATTGTGTTCTGGCCTGACTGCTGCATAGGCACGTGATTAGGACCTAGAAAAATTAAAGAGAGCAACAAGAAAATATGTGTTATTATCAGCAATGTACAGTGAGCATTAAAGCCCTCATGGCCTTTCTAAAATACGATAAGGCAAAACAAAACAAAAAAATCCTCATTATTAAAATTCTCTGTTATTGACAGACAAAACTGCTTCCTGCAAAGTTAGAGCAGTGTTCCTCTTCCTGCCTGCCAAATCTAGCTGTACAGAATTGCAAGGAGAAATCAGCAGCTGTGGCCTATAACCAGTTCCTCACGGGCTTCCACAGATCTTGCAGGCAGTGAAATTCACAAATGCCAGCAGTGTCAGAAACTTTAGAAAACACACAGACTCTGGAAACATCCCAGCCTTCTGAAATTCTTTCCTTCCTCCTGTCCTGCTGTTAACCCCATTCACACAGATGGTGACAATAGGAAGGCACAATGGTGGCTGATAAACTCTGCACATTGCTGTATTCATTCATTCATTTCCCCTCCAACCAACTGCACTTTGTGACTCAGGCTTAAGAAGCACCAGGGGGCCTCCCCTCAGAGGACCAAGAGGACAAGCTTGTCTTTCCCCTTCTGGAAGTTTGACTGAAACAACCTCAGACTTTCTGAAGGCATATTTTGCAAGTTGCCATCATAATCACTGGTTACAGTACCTGTCCAGTAACACTGTCCATAATTACTGGGCTGCTCCAACTGTACCCTAGCACTGTGTGTGAGTATGTGACTAGCATTTTGCTTACCTGGCAGTGTGTTGCTTTGTTGTTGTTGTTGTTTTTTTTTAAATTCTGTTATTGTTGTATAACAAAAATCAGGGAAAATCTGGTCCTCATTTTTGTTATTAGTTGCTGCAAATAGTTTTATGAGTGAGTTTTGGAAAGTTGTTTTCACTGTGTATTGATACTGTAGAAATTGTGATAGCATGTATTGCTGCCTATCTAAATTCAGCTGTGTAGTGTTGTCTATCAAATTAATTTAGATAGAATGGAAGACAAGCAGGATCCCTAGAAGAGACAAAATTATATTGCAATGTTTAGATAATGATATTTCAATCTGGTTATTAAGCGTATCTACAGCCTCTGAAAAAATGTTTAATTCTCTTACCGCAAACCTCATTAACTGCTCTTAATGATATTTCTAGTCATCAAAAACAGAAGATTTGCTGTTGATTATTATGTTTTCCTCTCATGGAGAGAAGCAAGCAGCATTTCTAATAGCAAACAGACAGAGCTATTTCTACTGAAATCTGCAGAACCAGAGATACACATACTGCTACAGAGGTACAGCTCTGTGTTTTGTGAGTTTTGTGTGTCTTCTAAAGCTGATACTTGGTTTTGTGCAACACAAAACCATGCGGTGTTTGAATGGCATCTGCAGACACTGAGTGAAAAAGACTGGGCTCACAGTAAAGCTCACAGTAAATCTTGCCCTGTTAGCATGGGAAAACGCGAGACTCTAGGCTTTCTTTACAGACCCCCCCCCCCAAAAAAAAAAAAAAAAAAAAAAAGTTTGGCTAATTCATGGTTGTAAGGGAAAATACGATAGCATGACTCAACGTGTTTAAATAAAAATACTAGAACAATAAGGCAAATACAAAGCATTGAATCTCTTTCATACTTTTGTGAATCTAAGGGAGCTGAGTTTTTCTTTGAAAGGCCTCATTCATGATTTCTGAACAGTGAGGATTCCCAGTTGGACCCCGTTCTGTCAGGAAGCAGCTGAGCTTCCCTTAGCTGATGTCTGAATCTACAAGTTCTGCCTGCAGGGCCATGGCATGAAGAATCACCAACTTGTGACTGTTGGATTATTTGAAATTTCAGTGGGTTGGTTTTTAACCTGTCCCTACAGGCAGAATTATCATTAGTTATCATTAGTTATTGAGCTAGCGGCCACTGCTGGTAATTATCATATATTTAGGGTACTATCTAGTGACTGTCCTGCAGAGGTGATTCCTCTAAAGACCAGTGTGAGGACAATAAGGGATAAAATGTACTAGTTTGATGTCTTCTTCCTTGTCCTTCCCTCTTTAACAATGCTGTACCTGTTCAGTACAGACTTTCATCTCCTTCAGATGAAAAATGCTCACAAGAACTAGAGCCCATACATTCATAATTGCTTGTGCATACTTATGCCTAACTTGTAAAAAAATGCTGTCCAATAATCACTGGCTGATGTTAAATAATTTCTCAGTCTCAAATCCTATCTATACATGAGGGTTGGGTGCTGGATAACTTAAGGTGCTGACTCGATTCTGGTTGGCAGAGACAGCAGCAGGAGGGGCTGGCACCCAGGTGGGTGTCCCCAGGCCTGGGGTGGGAGGCTTCTATTCTCACAGAGAGCAGCAGCACATGGCATCACTGCTGCTGTTACCTAGGCTACTCACAGTACGCCAGGAAAGGCAGGCTAATGCATTCTCAGTCACACCTTCCTTTGAAGAGCAGCTCTGTCTTGAGACCAACCTCCAGTGGAGCAATACTTTCATAACAACCTGGCACTATGCAGGTGCAGAGCATTGGTCAAAGAATAAGCTGCCCCCAGAGCGCCAGCTCAGGCTGTTAGCACTGGGGCGGGGGCACATGAGATGAGCGTGCACCAGCACTGCCTGCCTACCTCTGTTCTGCAAATGATGCCACTCAGCAGAACTGCCAGGCTGGCTCTTAATGAGCATTACATTGCTGTAAAGAACTGGGGAGCAAAGGAAAATACAAAAAAGCAGCAGCAGTAACACTGAAAATGTTCTGAGTAAAAGTTCTGAGTGAAAAACAAACAAACAAACAATGTTCGGACTGATTTAGTGTAATACTTATCCTAGTTAATAAATCTTTCAGAAAGGTGGCACAGATAAATTTCTCTCTACAGCTGGAAGCGTACAAAAGTAGTACCTCCTCCATTTGTTCAGGAGGTTCTACCAGCTTGACCACAAATAGATTTCTAAAAACTCAGAAGTAATTTCACTGCTTGCATCTGCTCCTGAGTTCCCCTGCCAAGGTCTGTGATTTTACAGTCAGATACTTCTATTTATAGACATTGTTTTTCTCCTTCTCTTACTTTGGGAAAGACCCATATAAACAAGAGCTGACTAAATAACCATGAAGTACAAAATGAATAAATGGATTATTAATACTAAAGAATATTAATAGAGTAAACAACAACAACAACAACAATCTCAGTTAGTTTCTTTTTAGTTGCAAGAACCAAAGAAACAAATGGATAAATGTGTATATTTGTCTTATCCATATAAAATGCCTGTGCAGACTCTTTGGCTGGTACAATCCCTGAAAGCTTCCGTAGAGGACAAAGGCTGATGTAACACCATTTTGTTCTCCAGAAGAAATCTATCCTAGAAGAGCTTTGCAGTCTAAAGGCTTGGCTGTGCAGTTAGTCATGCAAGCGATCCCATTTTACCCTGGCCAGCCCCACCATCTTCAAGAGAAAAATACTGCAATATATCATTTTTCTAACTAGAGACTTGGAGGCATCTTGATGATTCTCATTAGACATTTTTAAAACTGTTTTTAATTTCTCCCATAGTATTACTAAGCAGACTGGAGGCCTCGCAGAACCCAACATCATTACAGACTGTAGCCATTTTGTGATGATTTCAACATGTCCCAGAAATCCCCATCTGCCTGAAAGGTGAGTGAGGAGAGGTCTTTTACAGCTCTGTAAGTATTTTCTGCATTAATGATTTTGTTGCCAAGCAACAGCAAAGCAGCACAAAGGGGACCAAGGCTCACCATTGCTAATCTGACTCTGCATGAGGGAGGAAGGAGGAAGGCCTGTCCCGATTGCATCACTGAGATTGCTCTGTGAATGAAGAGACTGGTTGGATGCACTCTGAGTCATTCCTCCTGGGCCCAAGTTTATGTTTTGCGTTGGTGGCTGCAAACAACAAGGAGGAGAAGCAAATTTTTTGTTAGGTTTTATTTAGAAAAATAATCACCCTCAAATTAGACCAAGCATGACTAAAAACTGCCTCCAGTAAGTAAGTGCTTCCCTCACTTTCTGAGCAAAACTTTTTTCATTTGACTAGGATGTGTGAATGACATTCAGGGATGACACAGGGAATGACACAGGGAAGCCAGCAGGCTCCAAGCTGTGCTTCTAACAGAGGCTGGCTTCTGTGCCCATTCTTTTACTTAGATAAATTTCATTTGGACTGAACTGAAAGTAACTGCTGTGGGGAAATGCCTTCACAAACACTACACAGCAGAGTGTTGACAAACTGACCTTTGCCAAGCATAAAGCTATTGTGCATTTTGTGTTATGCTGGATACTTCTAAAATCAATCAGCTCAGCAATAACTCAATTTTTAAAAGCAAACCAATGCCCAAGTACTAAATGAAATAAAATAGTGGCTTTTTTTTTTTTTTTCTGAGTAAAGAATACAGTAAGAATAAGCAAAGAGTAACGAATCTGGAACAAATGAGTCCTGTTTAGATATGTAACACTGCATGATTTCCAGTTAGAAATTAGGCCACTGAGACAGATATTAACACAAATATCTGAAAGAAAGTATTTTAAATGCAGTAAAAGTAGCTCTTCATTTGGTTGATGGTCTACACAACCACTTAAAAAAAAAAAAAAAAAGGTTTACTGACAATGATCAGTATCTGTATCAAAGCACATTTCCCTCTGCTATAGTAAATATATGTAGTGGTAGCATTGGTACTTACAGCAGGAAGCAAGGACTGCATATTCTGGTTAGAATCTGCTATTGTTGCCAGGTAAACAAGGTTTCTGTGCAAGATCTGTTGGTATCTACAGAATAAGGAGCAAAGCTTATTTGGAAAGGGTCAACAACATAGAAAATTGCAGTTTATTATATTACATCAGCCCACTTTACATCTGTCAAAGTAAACAGTTATCATAGTGACCTGTATCTGTGCTGTTGTGCTTTTCAACAGTGTGTTCAACACCCATTTTACCAATGGGTAAACTCAGGGAAGCAGGAGGTAAAGTACATGCTTTTTTGCAAGCACTCGGAGTGCACTGTGCAGCTGGGAGCTCAGGCTTTCTTTGAGAACTGACACTGGGTCAGCAGCTTTAACAATTAGCCACAGATTCTTCCTCTGTCTAACCAGGGTCCTATTCATAATGAAATTCCAAAACCCAAAACCTGTTTGCCCTGCCAACAAGCTGAGAAGAACAAGATTTTTTCAAGAGTGCTTTAACTGGAGTGTTTACTCAAGTAAGCACCACCTGAACCATTTCTGCTTCTTCACAGCTCTCGATGAACTGGAGAAGTTCATAAGGAAGAACAGGAGGGCATCCAAAAGCAAACTACAGTTGTACCACTGTGCAAAGTGAAGAGTCAAACCTGGAGAGTTTGAGAAGAAGGCAAGAGAAAATATTTTTCAAATTGCCTTCTTTGCTGAAATGTTAGGTGACCTTTATTGCTAGAAATCTTCAATAGCTTAATTTCCAAGCAGAAAATTCCAGAATTAATAAATAATCTGTTAAAAATGTTCTAAATATTAAATTCTCAAATATTTTAGGGAAAAAGAAACCAAAAACCAAACCATCCTCTATCCCAAGAACAATACATAGTTTGTAATACAAGCAAATCTAACAAATAAGTCCAAGCATTCTCTCACTGATCAGTGGACAGCACTGTTCATGGTACAGCCCTTGAGAAAAAGTACTCCAAAAACATAGCCCGAAACTCATCATACTCACTGAGTACATTCTGCAGTTTTCCCCTTGCTCTGATAATCCATAATACATTGTATTAGGTGGTGATTTTCATCTAACATCTGCATAAAAGAAACATGATCAGAACATGTGAGAATCATATTAAAGACCTGGGTTTCTGCGATACTCCACATTTGCTCTCTGTAGCCACGGATGGCGTTCTGGGCACTTTGCTTTGGGATATGACCAAGTACCTACACACGACAGCACAGTCCTTGACCCATTGAGATGCAGAGGGCCCCCGAGTTCTGATCTCGACCACCCACAAGAAAATGCAGTTCACTGTCCTCAAATCGCTGTTTGGTGAACATTTTAAAGCAGCGCCATCACTGCTGTGTGGCCAAAAGCTCTGAATTCCAACACACCGGTTATCTTCTGGTGGTCTGTGCTACTAGAGTAACTAAAGCTTTGAAAGCCTATTGAGTTAATAAATAAAAACAAGCTGCTTTTATATTACAAATACGAATAACAACACTCTTGTGTTTCAATGCCATTAGAATATTCTAAAAATCTTGCTTTAGCGGGAATTTGTAACGAGCCCAGCATGTGCCCTCTCTGACTGCTCCATTTCTTACACGGAACTGGAACGTCCATTCAGTCACTGTGCCTGCAAGTCCCCTGCTCAGCACCATGCTTTGCAGACAGCAAATCACTGCCAGCAGCCCATCAACACTGACAAATAGTCCTGAAGTCACACAGCAACAAACGCACCTGGGATAGGGAATGCTTTTACACATTGCTGGTAAAGAAATAACATTTCAAAGCTTCCATAAAATTCATAAATATGAAAAAAAAGGAAAGTGTTTGAAAATTGAAATGAAGATATTTGGCTGTCCTCTGCTTATGGATACAGCTGTGTTTTTAAATACAAATTTCTGAATTAGAAATTCTGTCCTACTCCCAGCCAACCTGGAGGTTACAGAAAAAAAAAAAAAAAAAAAAAAAGCCACTGGAATATTTCACTGCTTAAAATTAATTGCTCACAGCAGTGTGTGTGCTGCAAGAGCATGGGCTTCATTTCCAAATAGTGCCCCGAAATTTCAGTCACACTCAGGCTCATAGGCAGTTCGTTCTGCCCAATCTCTCTTCTGTAACATCCTTCCATGGAGAATTTTTCCCTAGAAGTCATAAATTGGCACCAGAAAATGGTTTGGCTGCAAAACCTACCGACGATCCGTTCGTTGCTGGGTTAGCAACAACGCTGCCTCACTGACCATCATCTGACCACGTAAACACCTACAGCTCCCTGCCACTGCGCTGCACGAACTGCAGGAACAAAATGCCTTCGTGGTGGGGAACGCGCTCACATCAGCACAAGTACAAATGACAAATAGCGGTCAAGGTGAAACATGCATGTTCTTTATTGAGTCTCCAGCCTCTTCGTTACACAGTTACCTTTTGTGGGAGGGACGGAGGGTCGGCAGGTGCACGCACTGCACTCCCTGCTGCCAGCCCTCCGGGATGGGAAACAATAACTTCCCAACTGGGAGCCCTTCTGTACCAGACCCGTGTGGAGAGCTCAATTGCAGAGAAAATCTTCGAGACCTTTGTCATTACACACCAATAAACACATCGCAAATAACAGGAACAGCAGACAAAAAATACCACTGATTGCTGCTCCATTTGGCTTCTAAGATTCCGCATCCAAACGCAAAACCCTTGCCAATGCAATATTTTATTTTATTTTTTTGCTGATATGCCGTCAGAAATTAAACACGTATTTGCAAACGCTATTGCAATTTTCCACTGCATTATTGTCAGTCTTTTTCCCACCAGCAGCAGCCAACGTGCCGGCGGATTTCATTCCGTACCCCTTCTCTGGCTCTCTCTGCAGCGATCTGCACACCTTTGCTTTGTTCCACCTCCTCCTCCTCCTCCTTCCCCCACCTCTCTCCAGCTGTCCATCTCTGCAGCCCTGGCCATGCACGAGTTTCCCTGCTCGCCCGCAATCTGCCTCCTTCCACGGCTGCGGGAGCACGGACGGAATCACGTCCACCCCATCGGTACAAAGCATGCTGTTTTTACCTTCTGGATAGTTTGCTGGGTCACCTCCCCTTTGCCTCTCGGGCGAGCAGAAGCAAAGGCAACCGACATGGTGGGCTTTTTTTATGTGTCTATAATATATGGGTCCCAGGCTCTAATAATATTGTTATTATCTGCCTGCTATTGCCGTGCGAGGATTCTCCGCAGTGCGCGGGCAGGGGAGGTGCCGCACATGGTACGCTCTGAGCCCGGCGCCCAGCGGCGGCCAGCGCGCCCCGGAGCGGCACACGCCGCCCTGCGCCCGGGGCCGGTGCCGGCAGCTCGGGGCGGGGGGGCTGCGGGGCGGATTCGCGGGAGGGGAGGAGAGCGGCCGCCCGCCGCCCCGCGCCTCTCCCCGCCGCCGCACATGGTGCGTCCCTGCCGCCGGGTTTCCTGTCGCAGCCGAGCGGCATCTCCCTGCCTCCGCCGGCCGCCGCCAGGTGCGCCAACTGCGTAAGGGCGGCCGCCATCTACGCCGAGTGCGTCGAGCGCCGCGGCCGCCTTCGCCTACGCTCGTTGCGCAACGCCGGCTCCTCGCGCAAGGAGCGCGGAGGGAGCTTCGCGGCTGCAGCGTACGGAGTTGGCGCAGGGGGCGCCGTCGGCGTACTCCGGAAGCGGGCGGGGGATGAGTGTGCTGTTTTGAGGGAGGCGGCGCGCGGCCGGCAGCCATGAGCTACGACCGGGCCATCACCGTCTTCTCTCCGGACGGGCACCTCTTCCAGGTGGAGTACGCCCAGGAGGCGGTGAAGAAGGGCTCTACGGCGGTGAGCGAGGGGAGAACGGCGGCTCTGGGTTCACCGCGGGGCCGGGGCGGGCGCGGAAGGGAGGGAAGGCCGGCCCTGCGCGCGGGGAGCCGCGCCGCCGCTTCGCCGGTGGCCCCGCGTCGGGTCCGCGCGCACGGAGCGCCACGAGCCGGGCGGCGCCGCGGGGGAGCCGCGAAATCAACGCTGGTGTCGGCGGAACCGCGCGGCCGGGCGGCGCTGCCGGAGCGCTGCGCTGTGCGGGTGTCCGGCGGACGGGAGAGAGGAGAGGCGAGTGGGAATGGCTTTGTGGCCGCTGCCTTCGGTGTTCGCGTTGCCCCGAGGTTTTGATGAGCGAGGAGTTTTACTACATGGGGAATCACGCATCGCTTTCCAAGTATTCCAGGAAGGAAACCGCCGGCCTTCGGCTGGGCGCACCCGGCTGGCGCTGCCTGCACGCCAATGGACACAGCCGTCCTCACCGCTGGTACCGCTGAGCTCCTCGCAGCACAGCTGCCCCAGCCCTGCAGCGCCGTGGCGGCCCTCCGTAACGAGGCGTAGTGCCAAATTGCGTTGTGTTGTTTTACAGTACGGTAAGGGAGCGACGCTGACCCTGCGTTTGATGTGGCAGCTTTAGTGCTGCTCCTGCCGCAGTGGCTGCAGGAAAGTGCTGGTATTGGAGAACGCGGTTGGTAGGAGGGGTGGGGATATCTGCTAGGAGTCACACGGATTTAAATCAGCAAAAGCAGCTGATGAAACTGCACTCAGGAACTGAATGCAATTTTTGTTACATCAGTCCTCTCCCGGGCTGTGGCAGTAGGAAACAAAGTACTTCAAGTTGATGTTCATAATGCTTGGGTTTTTTTCTTTTCAGTTCAGTATTCTGCAATCTTTTAGGGGACCTAAGTTAACCTTTTTTTTTTTTTCTTTTCTTTGATTGCATTGAAGGTTGGAGTCAGAGGGAAGGACATCGTTGTTCTCGGCGTGGAGAAGAAGTCTGTGGCAAAACTTCAGGATGAAAGAACCGTGCGGAAGATCTGCGCCCTGGATGATAATGTCTGCATGGCTTTTGCAGGTATGTGATCCCTGCAGTTTGGCGTTTGGTGCAGCAGTTGTTAGACTGCCTTTGGGTAAGGTTGTGGATTCATGGGGTGTATATAACTGAGAGGGCTGTGGGGAAGGAGCACGTTTCCAGTTACTTCCACTTTTACAAATAGGTGTAGATAGATCCATAGGGCATTTAGGAGAATCAGTGATTAAATGAGGATGAAATACTGGTTACAGTTCACTGAGTTTAATGTGAGGATGAAGACTGAGAAGTAATGTTATTGACGCAGATATAGAACAAATATACTGGTTAACAATACATGTGAGTTCGTATATACACACATACATTTCAGCAGGTATCTCCTGTCTGTAAGTAATTCTTTGTATCAGTGTTCATAATGCTTTAAGAGGAGATCTGATTTGAGCAGGTAAAAATACTGATTTTTGAGATGTAGTGTGCCTTGCTTCCTCAGCTGGGGGTTGTGATAAGTGCAGGTGGATTCACAAGCTTGAGGAAGAGCTCTATAATGGAAACAAGGCTCCCAGCTGAAAATGGCATTGCTGGCTATTTTTTGTCAGCTAACATCATGCTGCTGTAGTTCCATCAACTAGACAAGATCTATTGTGCAGATAAGCTGATTTATAGAGAGAGGTGTTGTAAAAAGAAGTATAGGCACCGTACATGAGAATTGAAGCTCTGCTAATTTGCAGTTAGATGGAATGCTTTCAGTCTCTCAGGGGGATTCTGATTACCTGGTTCAAAATTGCTTGTGATTTAATAGACAATCATGAAATCTGTGAACAAAATATATATAATTTTGATGCATTAGTTTATTTTTGTTGCCTTCTAAACAATGTCCTCACTCAGTAAACCTAGGAAAGTGTGAATCTCTTGTATGCTTTCCTTCCCTTACTGTTGGCACTGACCTTGTGAGCCTTTTGGAGCAAGACAAGCTGTCTGTGCTTGTGATGTGAAGCATGAGTCTGAGCACAGCGAACCCACTGTCATTGCAGGGCTCACAGCTGATGCCAGAATAGTTATAAACAGAGCTCGTGTAGAATGTCAGAGCCACAGACTCACCGTGGAGGATCCGGTCACCGTGGAGTACATCACACGTTACATCGCCAGCCTGAAGCAGGTGAGCTGTGTGGGGTCCCTCTGTCCATCCGTCCTGCTGTGCAGTGCTGCAGGAGCCATGCATGGGCTGCGTGCTGCTCTGCTGGCAGAAAGCAATATAATGCTCCTGGTTGTTGGAAATAAAAATGTAGTAATAGAACATGAGGGTTGATTACCAGCTTTCCTCAAAAGATGAAATTAATTAGTGCTTGTAACAGCTGTATAAGTACATTGGTGATGTTATCAGGGACGCCGCCCATCTGTGCCTTTAATTCATTCTCATCATGGCTGTGATGCATTTCCTCTTTCGGTTTTCCTTCTAAGACTTGGCAGGGAGGGATGAGAGGGGAGCAAATTAATGCAGCACTTAATATACTTAGTTTGATATTCATGAATTTAAGATTAATGACAGGGTCAAAATATGCCCAACTGCCTTCTGTGGTAAAATTCTTCATTTGCTGCTGGTGTTTTGAACTAATTTTCAGCAACTACTGGGTATTAGCAAAAGTAATTTATTTATGATGTGCTAGCACAGTGATGATGACAATAGTGTGATGCTTGTGTTTATTACTAGCCTGTCAGAGCAGAATCTCACTTTGTTCCTTTACAGTAATCTCACATCTGTGTATTTCATTCTGACACGCTTGCAGTCTCTCTAAAAGTAGCAGCAGTAAATCTTGCAGTACTGCTGCTGCTGTTGGGCCTCCGTGCTTATGGTCACTTGTGTGTGGTGTGCTGCTGTGTTACAGCAGTGAGCAGAAGGGCTGTGGCACTGCCTTTCCTACAGCTGGCTGCCATCACAGATGATGCCTGCTTTGTCATTCACGGAATTGTTGCAAATCATTGCTGAAAACTGGCTTTGTGCTCAGATGTCATCCTCCTGCTCAGCCTCCTGAGCGTGCTTGTCAAAGCACAGCACTGCACCCAGGCATACAGTCACTGTCAGCAGCTCCTGGCAGCCAAGAGAGTCTCTTCCTGATAGTTACAGTGGTGCAGAAAACTTCAGTGGATGTTAGGAAAAGTGGCTGAAAAGTAAAGTAACTGCTTCAATTGCTTGGCTTATGGCCTTTGGTAGGGCGTGGAATCCTGCCTTCAATAGGTAGATGGGTGAGAAAGCCTCCTAAAAATATTTCTGATGCCTTTCCTGGTTGTAACATATAGAATGTCTGCTTTCTGCTCTAACAAAAGAGCTGCTTGTGAAATGCATGTCTGTTCCTTCTGAGCAGAGGTACACCCAAAGCAACGGTCGCAGACCTTTTGGTATCTCTGCTCTGATCGTGGGATTTGACTTTGATGGAACCCCCCGGCTGTACCAGACCGATCCCTCTGGCACGTACCATGCTTGGAAGGTGAGCTGGGTTCTGCCTCTTCTGGGGGTTACTGAAATATTTAAGAGTTACCATCTCCTTTAAAGAGGGATTGATGTAGAAGGAGATGAAAAAATCCATCTGCATGGAATGGCAGTCTGCAGTTAAGCTCTACTTAGGGAATTTTACTGTGTTCTCCTGTTTTCCAAGTACATGCGGGTGCCTGACTGCTGACTCCTTATGTGGTGGGGGAAGTAATGTGTTCAATCTCCTGAAAAACAGTGATCACAGAAGGGTTTCAGATCATCTAACTATACAGCTCCTATTTCTTGCTAATTCCAAGCTTCTTCCCACCCCCATCCATTCCAGGCTAATGCCATTGGCAGAGGAGCTAAATCTGTACGTGAATTCCTGGAGAAAAACTACACTGACGAAGCCATTGAAACAGATGATCTGACTATTAAGCTTGTCATCAAGGCTCTTCTTGAGGTGAGTCTCCCTCAGGAGCTTCGTGTCACTCTTCACCTTGTGTTTGGATTAACATCTTAATTGTGAGTACGCTAAAATCTTCATCCATGTGGCAGGATAGCTTTACACAAGGATCTATGAAGAGTGCATTCGTTGTCTGCCGTAGGTGTGGGGTTACTTGCAAGGTTCAGAGTACTTCAGAAAACTATGCCTGTAACTTGCATGGAGGAACTTAGACTGCAGTCCGCAAGAGAGGGAAAAAGACTTCAGTTCTTGCAGTTAATATAAATGAAGATGCACTAAACACCACATGCAGTATGCTTTGTGTTGAAATTTGAGATGAGGAAAGCTTAAATCAAAATGCAGATGGTGGAAATGTGGTACTTTTAAGTTAAGCATCAACAGGCTGCATTGATGCCAAAAGGAATACTTCCTTTTTGGGGGTGGGTTTTCCTACTGCTGGGATAGAGAGGTTGGAGCTAAATAAGTACTTAAAGAAGTACTCCTTTTCCACAGCTGTTTTTCCTGAAAGATCTGAGAAAGGTGTTAAAATTGTTTAATGGACCCACTCCTAATGGTGTTAACTTCTGTTCAGGTTGTGCAGTCTGGGGGGAAGAACATTGAGCTGGCTGTTATGAGAAGAGATCAGCCCCTGAAGGTAAAGTCTGCTTTGGCTTTTTTCCCTTTGTAGCCAGTTTCTCTGATAGCACTATTGTACATCAGCCCTAACTCCTTCATCTCACATTCTGCACTGGCAAATATTTGTTTAATAGTAGCAGCCAAGGAATGTTGTGTCTGCACAATGTACCTGTGTCTCTGGAAATAGCTGTTAACTTTCCTGCCATGTCAGAGCTACTTAAGTAAGATGAAAGTCTCTTAAGTGGCATCTTAGAGGTTGCTGTTTTCCTTTCTTTAGATTCTAAGCCCTGAAGAAATTGAGAAGTATGTTGCTGAAATTGAAAAAGAAAAGGAAGAAAATGAAAAGAAAAAACAGAAGAAGACATCATGATGAACCAAATTCAGCGCCTGCTTAGCTGCTTCTTTTTAACTGAAGCAATGGGTTATTCTGTATAGACAAGATGTAGGCATTCCGTTTATTCATACTGTGCCCCTCTGGAGACCTACAATAAACCTACTGATTTTTTTTAAGCTCTTATTTTAGAAAGATCTGTGTGTTCCTGATATTTTAATCACTGAAGGTTACTTGATCAGCTACAACATGCAGGAGTGACCCATTAAAGGATGAAGATTGGTTGCATTTTTCTTCCTGGCACCTTTCTTATGAACAGTCTCAGTTGTCACTTATTTTCTTGTTGTTGAAGTGGTTGTCTCAACAAAAACAACTGCTTTTAATGAATTATGCTTTCTTTGTCCCACATCACTCTTTTCCAATGTAAATGGACAGGTCCCAGATGTAAAGCATAAAACTTTCTATCCCAAGTTGTGAGTTTTATAGCACAAGGATTTCAGGCTCCAACAGTTTAGGAAATGAGCATGAGAACTGTTTTGAAGGCATGTCATAAGCAACTGAGGAGGTGCATGAATTGCTACCTGCAGGTCATTGCATGATTCATCTGGTTGAGAATAAAGTGGTGTTATGATGCCCACTAGGGGATTTATAGACCAGTGACTTCCTCATATGAACTACAGGTGTACTGAAACAATGATAAAGGTCTACTCCAGCTTATCCTTCTGGTGCCTCACTCAGGTTCTGCTCAGACCTGCATGCTGTCACAGCTGTTTTTGTCCAGTTCTTTTGGCAGAGGTAGACCACATTCTGTAAGTGATAGAGGCCTATTTCTGCACACTAAAGTCGTTGCTGTGTGCATTCTATTCACCAAACAATTAATAACATGTATAAAATGAAAGCCTTGTGGACAGGTAGCTGTGTATCCAGATAACAGGTTTTACTTCCAATAGCCATCTGCAGTCTGAGGCAGCTCCAAGTAGCCTGTCCTGGCCCTCTGCTCACACAAGCATGGGGGAAAGCTTTTGGGGAAAGGGGGGTGAAGAAGTTGTGCTTTCCTGCTGCTGTTTCCTGTTTTAGGAAGCTGCCCTTTGACAGCTCTTCCCTACAAGGTTAGTGGTCCAGGTGCAGTACTGCACATGGAGGCTGCAGTATATATGTCCAGCAGGCCTGACACTGAATCTAGAACAAAGAAAACTACTGCCTTACTAATAAAAAGGAGTGGTACTGAAGTTGGTGTTGATTTCTCACTTCACCACAGCCACACAGGCAGGCTGTAAAGGCATGGCATTCGCTGCTCCAGCAACTGACAGGCAATGCAATTCCATTTTTGTGCTGTAGTGTCACAGAAGCTGTTTTGCCAGTGGAGAAAGGAGCTTACCTGGGGGCTGCTGCAAGCCCTGCTATCAGCACACACACCATTTGCTGGTAAGAGCCCAGCTCCCAAAGACAGCTGTGGCCACCAACCCAGAAATATTGCCACCCAAAACAAACTCTGGTTAAGCTGTACCAGAGCTGGCTGTGAGCTCTGGGTGCTGGGAGCAACAGCAACATTCCTTCAGTTGGCTACTCAGACTTCCCCTGAAGGAACACAGGGTGACAGGAACAATGCAGCAGCTGTAGCAGAGCCTTCAGCAGCTTTCTTAAACACTGTGCACCTCTTTCCAGGCCAGCGCAGTTTCCTCTTAAATTTCAGCCCTGCCTGAAGTTGTTGGGTCAGATGCTGCCAAGCTGCACGCAGAACAAAATAGCAGGAAAACATCAAACATTTACATGTTTATTATAATTACAATTTACATTACTCCAAAGAGCAGCCCCACTGCTATGTTCTAATTCTTAGCAATAAAGTCCTACAAAAATAAATCCAAGCTTTTACAGTAACCTAGGTCAATGCATAACTAAAAAATTCTAGCTATGTATGGGGTTCAGTCATCAAGGTGCTTTTTCAAAATTCCCTACCAACAGAAAAGGGACACATGCTTATAGCAATTTAACCCACTTATTCATGCAAACAAATGCAACCCCTTCCCTCCCAGCCCCTCTCCCCACATACAGATTTTAAAAACAAAAGAAAAAACTAAACTATTTACAGTATGGGGGTACAGAGGAAAAATTAAACATGCCCATCTTTTAAGCTTCATTATATGGACTCCCCATTCCTAGTTTAATGAAAACATTCCATAGTGTTCCACCACAGTCTACTAGTGTACAGAAAACTGTTTGCATTTAGCACGATATGAACAAGGTACAAAGCAAGGCAAGAAGCCGGCGCTCCGGGCTCCTTGCCAGGCAGCCAATTGCCGCCAGGGGCTCTTCACTCTGAACACACAAGCAGCAGTGCTTGCTGCCCATCCTGCTGGGGCACAGCACTCTGCACTCCATCACCCCCTGACCCCGCAGAATTCCGAGCCGTGGAGGAGTGCCCAGCACCCTTCAACTCGAGGGAGGCACAGCTCTGCAGAGCCTGCAGTACCTCCACATCAGTACTGGCTAACAAACAGTCGTACAGTCATTTTACACCACTACATGAGCAACAATCCAGTATTCCCAAGCGACAATACACGTAACTCCCCAGCACCAGGAGTCCATTCTTTCAGACACCAAGTGCTACTCCACACACACTGCTGAGTACAGTAAGACCAGCAGCACCAAAGAATCCATTTGGTTACTCAGAACAAACAAGTTAGCTGGTTTATTTCAAGTGAGCTTTGGTTCCATGTTAAAATACCATGATTTAACTTCTTCAGGGTTCAGAAAAGGAGTCTGACTTTAAGCTTAGACTATAGCAGCCTTTGAGAGACCCGAAAGAAGAACCATGTAAGTTAATCTGCACTTAAAAAACAAAAACAACAAACGAAAAGACACCCTGAAGAAGGTACCCCTGAACACATTCCCTCTTCCAAAGAATATTCCAGCTGACAGTTGCTGGTCCAAAGTAAGTCCAGAATATAAGCAGTAGTACATGAAGTTCTGTCATTTGAGCTGAGACGGTAAACAATATGAACCATTTTCCCACATTAGTGCAGCAGTCAGTTGTTTTCTATGTACATTTTCATCTTCTCAGGAGAGATGTTAGAACCTATGCAGGAAAAAGGTAGAATTAGATTTGATATCCAGAGGACTTGCCCCAAGAAAAAGCAAAAGTTCATACCTACATATCAATTAAAATGTTTAGCTAGAAAGTCTCAGCCAAAACAAACAGCTCTTGGTTTTCGCAGAGCTGAGCGCCAGGAACCAATAGCTCAATCAACATGTTAGAACTGCTTGCATCTCCTTCCATCACTTAGAAAGATGGATAAATAGTTAAGAGATGATAAAGAACTACTTCTCATTTACCTGCAGGACTGGAGGAGGTTGCACAGACAGCTCAGGTAAAGGATAAGAAACATGCTCTGGTTAGGGAGAGCAGTTACTAACGACTAAACAAAAAAAAAATGTAGTTTACCTGTGAAGTTACACTCTGCCAGTACCAGCTCTGTGAGTGGTTTGGTTCCTTCTTGCTGCTCCGCTACCCCTTCCACCTCGAAACCCACCACGAAAGCTGCGGCCACGAAGGAACCGTCCTGACACTCCAAATGTCTCAGTATTGAGTTTCCTTTCTTCAGCCCACGTGGTGCGTCTAGAACTGAATGGGACTGCGTTCAGGTTTAATATAAACATTAAATAACCCCCAACTCACTCAGCTAGGAAGCCTCAAGAACCCTATTCTATTGACTAGAACTACAACAAGAACAGCTGCAGTATGAAAACACTCATTCAATTCCTCTGCTAAACATGGGCTTTTTGGAAATGACAGCTGTTGGCTTTTGCATGCTACTTCCAGACCAGAGAACTATGGAAAGACTTACAATACGAACGAATGAAGACTTGGTAGCATTTCACACCCAGTCTTGTTTTCTTGGCAAACACAAACTTGAAACCCATGAAGCTCTTTGGACTCCTAGGTAGGCAGTCCTCTCACAGCTGAGGTTCAGCTACTGGAACAGCTTCACAGCACCAGTCCTAACTCCTATCCAGAATCTGCCTGCCCCCAAATACTGCCTTATGGTAAACACAAGGAAGAAAGCTTTGCTAAAAGGAAGCAGAAACACCAAGGGAATTTTATACACTGACATTAAAGGGAAGTTTAACTTCATCAGGCTGCTCATACCACCAAAAGACAGCAGGCAGCAGATGAAGCCTTTCATTAATATTTGCAGTACTTAATTTGATGTTTCTACAGACAGACCTGCCCAAACTCCAGGCTTAGCTTGCTCCTGTCTGCAAGATGTACCATCTTCAGCACAGCATGATTCTGTTGCCTCCTCCCACAAATGTGATTTTAAACACTTTATTCTATGTATTCAAAGTCAGGACTAGGAAACAGAATGGGATGCATTAAACACAGCACAGCCAGCCAGCTATATTTAGCATTGGTACAGCCTCACTTCGAATATTACTGGCAACTATGGGCTCTACAATATAAAACCATTAAGATACTTGAATAGCACCCAAGGGACAAAGCTGGTAAAAGGGCCTAAGGACACATCCTATGAGGAAAAGCTGAGGCCCTGCTTGTCTGGTTTGCAGACAAGGAGACTAAGTAACCCCATTGCTCTCCATAACTTCCTGAGGAGGGAAAATAAGAGAGCACAGAGATTCTCTCTTCTTCCTCATAATCAATGACAGGACATATGGGAAACAGCATACACCTGTGCCAGCAAGACTTCTATAGATACTGCCTTCACCAGAAGGGTGGTCAAACACTGAAACAGGCTTCCTAGTGAGCTGGTTGATGCTCCATGTCACTCAGGGTTCAGGAGCCATTTGAACAGTGCCCTTACCAACATGCTTCATCTCCTTGTTAGCCCTGAAGTGGTCAGGCAGTTGGACACTTACCTTTGTAGGTTCCTTCCAAATCAACTATGCTATCTGACAAGTGATCCTTGTATCCTAGTTGAAGGAAATGTATTAGTGCAACTGAACTTACTGCTTTTTGTTTGGTCTCACTGTATGAAATTTCGTAATATCAATGATGCATCAAGTGTGTGACAATACTCCCTTCTAAAACCTGTTTTGATTTCCTCACATTTTCTTCTTGCATTTTGAGACTTCTAGAAAGTTGCACCATGTTACACATCTAGAATTATGGCTAAGGCAGCAAAAAAAAAAAAAAAAGCAAGCTTAAAGAAATACTCACCTAGACTTCAGTTCTGAGGAGATATTGTCAAAGAAAGACTTGGATTTATCATAATAGCAGTTGGGTCCCAGAAGGTCCTCCTCTGCATTGCCATCATTGTTTTGAGTTGCCACTCCAGGATCCCCTTTTTCTTCCTCTGTCTCTGCTTTGTCATCTGAAGAAAATAAGATGCATTACACTTCTCTGAGGCATACTGAAGACCCATCTGTTCTCTTGGTCCTTCAAACAAAATTTGAGATGCTGCCACATTGAGATGCAATTTCTCAGAATGAGTTTGTCTATGCAAGGTTTACTACTAGCTCAGCAATTCGTATATAAAGAAGCTACAAACCTTTAAAGTTTAGTTTCTTCTTGAATTCTTTATCAAGTTCCTCTCTGTTGAATTGTGCATTTGCGCTTTCGAAGTCGAAGTCACCTTCAAACTTTATTGTATTTTCCTTCACAGTAGTTGGTCTGTTTTGTCCTCTAGAACGATTTCTGGTTCTCCTGTTTCCCCTGTTTCCTGAAAGCAGGAGAGTTTAAACACTTGGTAATGTGCAGGGAAGTTAAACGACTTGCTCAAGACCAGAGGAAACCAGGACTAGAACTCAGAATCTTGGCTTCCCACCCCATGGTTAGGTCACACCTATTTGAAAGTAACTTCTGAACTTGGCTGTAGGAAACACATTACAGCAGCATTTTAACTTTCTGAAAAGCATTCCTGCTGTCAGCCTTACCACTGAAACATAACACATCCAACTTTTCTTTCAGTTGGAAAAGAGAAAATAAGAGCAACACGTCCAGTAAAGCTGAGGGAAAGGTACAGGGGCTATAAACTCTATTTGCCACTCATCTGCTAACATGTTACTATAACTGGTCCACAAACCTGTCATGATTGGGATGAACAGATCATTGGTATTGGAAAACCTTCCGAAGACTCACCTGCCCACAAAGGGATGCATACTTAATTGTAAAGCAGAAACCATACAAACTATCAGCTTCTTTTTGGAAAGAAAAAAACACCAAACTTACAGCCTCCCTTCCACAGCACTGCCTTTAAACTAGTTTGAAAGCTAATCTCAACTTCTGCTTCCTTCCTTTTCTCACTTTGTTTGGGCAAGGATGTCTAGTTGACTTTAGCTTCACTTTCCTTTGACCCATGCTTAAATAGTCATCTCAGTATAGGAGCTTCACTCTAGAGAAGCAGTGACTCCATAGTTCTTCTAATTTGCAAGAACACTAGCTACTCTTAAACAGGCTGCCCTTCCCAATAAGACGACAACAGGTTTCAGAGCAATCTAGTTATTGCTGTAGATTTCTTTTTTTAAGAAAACAATTTACCTCCAGTGCCCAGAGGACACCAGAATTTTGGTGGTTCTGTATTTCTGTGGCTCCAGAACTTACTTTGTTGGGGAATCATCCCTACAAGGCCAAAGACTTCTGAAGCCTTTCTTTGCTCTTAGTCTTCTGTCTGATAACGCTTACTGATTCAGCACTATTTGCCTTTATAAACTAGAACAAGTGTTTAGTGTCAGAATAACCTACCTGATCTTCTCCTTTGAGGCCTTCTGTTTTCATCATTCACCTGTCCTTGGGTTTGTACGGGCGTTGCTGGAACTGTATCTACTGAACAAGAAAGAAACTTCTGGGCACACAAGAACAAGACCGAAATAGTCTGGCCTTGCTATGAACCTTTGAGTGATGCTTGAAAACAGCACTTTAAAGCAGTCCATACATACCAGCTGTCTTGGTGCTGCTCTGTGGGACCTGCCGGCCATTGCGCTGCACCCCTGGAGTTACTTTCACTGGGAGTGGCTTCTGTGAATTGATGTTGTCCACGGGGCCGGTCTGAACAGCCTGCTCTACCATGGGGCTTTTGCGGACAGGGTGAACTGAAGGGAAGCCAGCACCTGGAAAGAATTGCAATGACTAAGTGCTCCTCAGAAAGCACGCCAGTGTTATTCAAACCCTACCCACTTCTACGGAGAAAACATCGACCACAGTTATTCAAAACCTTGGTTGTTTATCATTACAAGCTACATTTAAGTGGCACGTAGGGAAAGCACTACTGCCATCGTTCTCAGCTCACAAATCCAGAGCCTTATGTCAGAGAAAATGCCCATTTATTTCTTAAATCAAATTAGACACTTCAGATAAACAAGCCAGGCCAGACAGGTCAGTCTCCTATAGAGAGTCAATAAGAAAATCAAATTTCTAGGTGCATCTTTGGTTATGCAGGATTGTACTTTACATTATATTGAAGCAAAACATGACCATTTTGAAGATGCTCAAGAAAGCTTCCCCACTTTATCTAAAAAAAAAAAAGTTTGCTGCTAACGTTTTGCCACCTCAGCTATATATCCCATTTTGTAAGCCATTTTTTAGAAGCCCTTTGACTACTTGAAGTACTGTCATTGCTTATTGTTAGCTTTCAGACAAAGAAAACCTGAAACCAGACCAGGATCTCAAAGTTACCCTTTTAAATTCCTTCTTGGTCAAGGCCAAAGTGTTACCCAAGACTTCTGTTGCTCTTCCATCCAGGCTTATTTATTCACACTACAAAACATGTAAATACTTTTCATGGTTTGGTATACCTTACACCATTTATTTTAGAAAGTGACAGTCTTCAGTATTCAGAAGAAATACTGCATTCTAGATTTAATTAGAAGTTTTGGAGCTACAGGCTTTTGTAGTTATGCATAAGAATTGCTTGGAAGCAAACTTTAATTGAATACACTTTAAGAGCAAGAAAAGTGAAAAAGCTGAAGAGTACACACAGACCAAGCCACTGACACTTCTGGGGCACCCAAGTCCACATGAGATATACCCAGTAGGTAACATCATGCAGGTTCCCAGTTATGTACACCTGGAAAACTTGCAAGGAAGACAGACACAGCCTAAGGATTATTCAGTAGGACAAAGCTGCTGTGCAAGTTCAACAAAAAGTTTCAAAGCTTAGTAAGAAAATTGAGAAAGCATATACAGACAGATGGCCAAACGGAAAGCAGAAAGTTTCATGCCAACACAACCATACATGCTAATTTAAAAACAGTTTAAACTAATTACCATGTTTAAATGCAGGCTGCACCTGGTCTCTCTGCTCTGAAGATGGGTCAGTCTAGTTATCTCTACTCAAACTCCTTTAAAAAGTTCTTAAGCACAGAAGCAAGCACTCAGAACTATGTTACTTCTGCTTACCACAACTAAAATTGTTCACTGTTAGTTGTGCCTTACTAGCTGGCAATCTTTATAAGGTACATTGCCCCATCATGCATGAAACATATCCTGAAGTTTCCTAAATTACAGTAACACTCCTGAATTTTCTACTGGCCTGTTTATTTTTGAGCAGTAAGGTCACCCATGATTTAAGCAGTGCGCTTGGCTTTCTAGGAAAGGCCAAGTAATTCCCTGCCTAATGCCTAAGCCAAAACACACTCCTAGGGAGGATGCAGCATGACATCCCTAAACCTCAGCCCTCTCCTGATACTTACACAAGAGGATCCACAGTTCTTTACTTTTTCCATTCTCCTGTCTCTCTAATTGGTACTTCTAGAGCAGGAGGAAGTAATACTTCATGTGATGAAAAGCAACAACAGCCAAGAACAAACTCATTTCACTAGCATTACCCATGTAAGTACTATCATTCTAGGAGGGGGTTAACAAGAACATATTATTTTCAAGTGCCATGCAGTTCTTCCAAATATTTGGAGTCCTCAAACTGCTGTTACCCTTGGAAGAGAGCTGATGGGGCTCTGAAGACATGTCAGGCTCTGAAACAGGTTGTGGAGACGGAGAAGAACTAGGACTGGAAGCAGCTGCTGATGCTGGAGGGCTTACCAATTTCTCTAAAGAGATAGAGGGAAGAAGAGAAAGCAAAAAGATATATGGATAAGATACAAGGTTGTGTAACATCTGGAGGACTTGGAAAGAGATACAAGAATCTCTAGAAACAGCTTTAGAGCAGCTTATTTAGTTCTCTTTTGGAACACAAGCTCTTTTCACACATGGGTTGTGCATGTGAGCTATGTCAGACCAGAAATCAACTGACCTCAACTGTTTGTTATTCATATTACTTTCAGAGAGAAGCTTCAGCTCTTTAGTTTCTTTCTTGGGTACATATGTATAAGTGAAAGATGGGCCTCCTTGCTATAAGATCATTGCAAAGTTTTTAACTACTTATTCACTGCTTCTTGCAGCCTGACATTCAGTATGGAATTCATTCTCAGTTACTGCTATGTGGCTCCAGTGTAGCTGCATACAAGACTGTAGCTTTATTCTAGCAAAGAAAGCTTTTACTTACCTAAACCTAATGAAGCTGCGTACTGCTGGCTAAGTAAAGAGCTGGCAGCAAGTTGGCTGTAAGGTGGCATACCTCTAAACGGGCTGTAAGGCACATGTGGCTGAAATGATGATGTAGAGGCAGAGCCCAGTGAAGACTGTAACAAGACAAAGTACATTTCCATTTACAGTGTTCAGAAGTCAACTTGCTTTGGCAGTGATTCTTTACACAAGTACACCACTCAAGTAAACACCGCAGTCTCTACCTGCATTCTCAGCTAGTACACTAGCTACAGTTTTGTCAACTGAAGTCTTACTACCATTATTTTAAACGCTGAAATGCAATTCAGAACGCTTCCAAAAGTCTGAAAATTCCTGGAGACAATCACTAAGTTTTTATAATTTGATACCAAAATGCAGCCTTTTATCAACGTTTCACCACATCTATCTACACTGCAGGCTAGCTTACCTGAACAATGGCAGGATCCTGTGGCAGAGTATGCTGAGCTTTTGGAGGCTCACAGACAGTGATGTCTTTGATGTCACTTCCTCGGAAAATAATGTATTCATAGATTTCTTCCCTTGGAGGAGCAGGTCTGTCTGTGGGCCGGTCTTCGGTACCAAAGGATCGCACTTCAGCATTAGAGAGATTGCTGTTAGTTCAGCATATCTTTGCAACATTGTACAAGTTAAGACTTAGAAAATTAGGAAGTAATCCTACAGTGCTTGTCAGAAGTAACAAAAATGTAGGCTACCTCTAGAGTCCCTGCCCCCCATATCCCACACATCTGTTCCCAAAGACCAAATCTTCTAGCAGCCTGCATAAATAGATTTGTTCACAATCTGCGAAGGCCAAGATGATAAACCAGTTGGAATGAAAAAGTCCACTGCAAAACTGAGGACTTCCCCACACTGCTGTACTGCCACAGTCACCCCTCCTCCCCAGATCCTGTCCCACATACACAGCCAACTTGAGACAACTGCCACCACAACAGACCATGAGAGAAGCCTCTGAAGCAGCAGGGAAAAGTTCCTCAGCAGCTTTAGAGCTCAAGTCCATACCTTCATTTTCATATGTATTAATAACAAACTGTCTATCTGCATAAGAGCTTCCTATTTAAATTCTCTATGCCATTGGTTTCATATTTAGAAAGCTTTAAGTGATTATTCTAAACCTTAGTGCCTGAAGCTTCTCTGAGTCTCAGCTATCAGAGCACTTGAGCAGGCACTAACAGAATGAAGTTCCACTTTGCAGTGGGAAAGAAGGCCATAATTGACTGTGTGCCTACCGGGGAGGAGCATAAATTAACTCAATCCATTAAACAGGAGGAGGTCAGATTCAGACTTTCTACTTTGTTAGTGCAGGAAAACAAGTGGCAGTCACATTAAACCGGAGTATGAAACAGACTAGAGAATGAGCTCCATCTACATGTATAGAGGCTTCCTTCTACACTTGACAGAAGTCTATCAAGTCTGCGAGGATGGTTCTCTGCCTTCATGAAGCTTTGCCAGTTCAGATAAGCACCAGCACATATTAGCTTGATAAATGCTTTTTGGCAGTGGAAGAGCTCCAGACTGGAGTTGCATCAGCCAGTTCTAACAGGTTACCAGAAAAGCTCTCAAACTTTGAGTCAGGACACAGGAAGTTTGAAGTACCTTTACAACTCCATCCTGAACAGACCCTCTGCAAAGACCTGCTGTACTACAGCCTGCAGTCCTGTGCCAGCCAGCTGCAGCTCCCACTTCAGAGCAGGAAAGATAAGTGCAGACGGCCTTGTCAGCTGGATGATAGTGGACAGGGAGGCACTGCAGCTCCCCCAGATAAAGGGTAGCAAGAATTGGATCAACTCAACCCCACTGCTTAGCATTCCCAGCATCCTGCAGGCATACTGACTTATGGGGGGTGCTGATGCTTTGTAGGTGAAAATACCCAGCAGTCCTCAGATGAGGGGCTGCCTTCAGGTGGTTTCCCTAAAAGCAGCAGCTAATGCTGCAAGCAATCTTCAGGTTTCATCTGTTCCACGTGGAGATGAGCTTACACTGAGCTAATGCTCCTTGTACAGCAGGTCAATGCCAAACTGCCCCATTTCACTGTTGCTCTTTGGCACCTCAGCTCATACCTAACTGGTGAAGAACAGACTGCCAGTTGCTTCCCTCAAACACAGCCTTCCATTAGTAACTATGGTATAAAAACTCTAAGTTATTTTAGCTCTCCAGCTGCTGTTTGATCGTATTACAGCTGCAATCCAGTCAACTAGAAGCAGATTATCAACTGAAAGTGATACTCGCAGCCTTTTAGACACAAACCATACCACTGATATTCCTGTTCAAGATTAGCTTATTACAGCATACATGGCAGCACATGCTAAAGCTACTGCAGAATCCCACAGCTAGCTCAAAACACGACTTCTCTCAGCACCAGGATCAGGCTGCTGGCTTCCAGGTAGAGAAACACATGAGCTGTAAAGTCCAGAGCTGTTCAGGCAGCCTTTCAGTTGCCTGGTCCCAAGGTCTGTAACCAGAAGGGTAGAAAAATGATGTCCTTATTGTAGACAAAACAGCAGCGATGGCATTTGCGAGGCCTCCAGGAGTGGAGCACACCCACTCCCTGTATCTGAAGTGTTTAATGATTTCTGGCACAGCACAAAGCACAGCTTGGAGTTTCTGTGGAGGTCTGAAGGGCTGTCTCCCATGAAGACTTACAGTGACTATTGTTTACAGATGAACAGGAAATCAATCCCACGCTGTGCCACAGCCAGTGTTTTACAACAGCTTGTATTCACACGCAGGACTCTGTAGAGCTCAACCACTAAAGGGTCAGGAGGCATAAGAGGAGCGAGTCTGGAAAGCAGCTTTTACACAGATATTTCCTGCCTAAAATCCAGAGTTCCTTCAGACTTGTGCAGAACAGGGGGTAAGGTAGTGGTGTTCACTAAGAACAGGAGGATAATTGTGTATTGCATTACAGCCATTGTTCATAATGGAAGTTTAGCATCTAACAAAACAGACAGCTTTCCTGCTGCACTTAGGCTTGTTATCCAAGGAGCTGAGTTGCTGCATGTGTCAAGATTTCACAGCAACAACATACAAGTCAACTGAAGTTTGCCTGCTCTGAATAAGAGTCTGAACCAGATTCCTTCCCCCAAAGTACCCTTCAACCCAAGTTGTTCTTCATACTATTAGGATGACAAAAAAAATATCACAAGAGCAGTACATACAGCATGTATTAAAGTCTCCTGAACTTTTAACACTGGCATTTGGGGCCTGGCAATTTACTTATCTAGACAGCGTTGACTGCACATCAATAGTTCAGTGCTCCCAACCCCTTGGAGATCTCACGTTTCCAACTGCTGCTCACTGTGCTGACACGACTGTCACAGCTATGTTCATAAGACTGACATTAATCTTGATACAAAGTCTGATTTTAAAAAAACCCTCCGAGCTACAACCAGCCTTTGCACCGTGAAGTTTAAAGCAGCACTTTTAAATAAAAGAAAAATGCATTCTGCCATGTACTGTAGCTACTTCTTAAAACTCCAGTTCTTCACAGCTGAACATTAAGAGACCAATAAATACAAGTGCTGCCAGAAATATCATACCAAGCAGGTACTTCCCCACACCATCAAGCACTTTAATCACATGTACCTTTAAAACACAGCACTTCAGCTCTGTTGCAGCGTTACGTGGAAGTCAGAGCTACGTGTGAAACCAGCTCTGCTTTCTGCTGAGCAAAGGCTGAAGGCCTTGCTGTGCATGCAGTGAAGGAATTGCATCCTTCCCACAAGCTGGTACTTCATGTCTGGAGACAGCTGCTTTTAGAGCCCTGGAGAGGTTAATTTGTGGAAATTTGAGATAATGCCCATTTTAAGCTTTACAACAAACATCAATAGATGTCAAATGTTCGTGTCCAGTACTATGCCAACAGCACGACACTGAAATTTCAGGTCGTGGCATAGGCTGCCTAAAGTAGAGCTGAGAAGCAGGCAATAATTCCAGCAGACAGACTCGAGAGACAAAAGATACTTGGCTTCTGAACGATCCTGATGGGATGTCGAAGGCCACCATGAAGGTCTGAACTCACAGAGCAGAGAAAGACAAAGCTGGAACAGTCAATCCGGACAGCAAAAGCAGTATAAAAACAAGACCTTGCCTGAGAGACTAAACAAGATAGAGCAGGCTTTTCTGAGAGCAAACACAGGAGCTCCCAGCGCAGGTGGCCATCGATTCCAAATCACACCGGCCAACCAGATACACCCCGCTGTTCCCGCACGGGAACGGAGCGGCGGCGGTGCGAAGCGCCGTGCCCACGTGCGGGCATCGCGCCTCGCAGCGCGGGTATCGATCCGGGCACGAACAAAGGCGGCCGCCGCGGCTCCGCCGTAACCCGCCGGGCCCCGCGCCGGGAAAGGCAGCCCGAGCAGCGATACGCCGCGCTCGCATCCCGACGTGAGCGCCGAGAGCCGGAACGGCCGCGGCACGGCCGCTTTCCTACCGACGGAGGGAAGGAATGGAACCTCACGCGGACGGCGCGGCTCTCCTCGCAGGGAACCCCCGCCCGCCCGCGCGGCCTCCACTGCTGACTCACCGGCAGCCCGCGCCGCCGGAGGCGAGCCGCTCCCACCCCCGGCTCCGCGCAGCCCGCCTCGGCCGCGGCCCGCAGCGGCGCCCGGCCGCATTGTTCGGCCCCGCACCCCCCGCGCCGCTCCGCCCCGCCGCCCCCCTCGGGCCCGGGCCGCGCTCACCCTTCGCCAAGGCCACGGTGGAGTTCTCGGTGTCGATGGTGTAAAGGATGCCCTCATAGCGGATCTGCGCCTTGGAGATGAGGCTGATCTTGCTGCCGATGTACGGGGTCCCCGAGCTCATGGCGGCGCTCCGAGGGGCCGCGGCCGCGCGGGTGGCTGCAGCGCCCGCCCACGCACACTGCGGAGACGGGAGCCCCGCCGCGCGCGCCTTATGTAGGGCGGAGGGAGACGGGCTGCGGGGGGCGCGGAGCGGGGGCGTGCTGCGGGACCGCCGCGCATGCGCGATTACCGCCCGCTATTGACCAGACGGGAGACGGGGTCAGACGCGGAGGGTGCGGGGAGGAGAGGGGAGGGAGCGGGGGGAGGAGGGGGGAAACCCGGGGCCTGCGTCACGTGACGGGGGCTGCCACGTGCGCGCGGGCGGGGCGGGAGGGGCGGGGCGAGGCGAGGCGAGAGCTCGCGGCCTTCCCGCCGCGACCGAGGGCGGCGGGGCGGAGCCGTGCGGTGACGGGGCCGAGCCGGGAGGGTTTGTTACGGATCGCCTCAGCTTCCCCCGCAGCCCGGCTCCGCCTGAGGGCAGCTTTCCCGCGCTGGAAGCCCCTCCCGCTTTACCGCGGCGCTCCCCCGCCGCGCCCTAGGCGGCACCGAGCCGCGGCGCTCCGCTCCGCTCCATCCCCGCCGTGCCGTGCCGGTGTTGTGCCGTGCCGTGCCGGTGTTGTGCCGTGCCGTGCCGTGCCGGTGTTGTGCCGTGCCGTGCCGGTGTTGTGCCGTGCCGTGCCGTGCCGTGCCGGTGCCGCAGGCGCCGCTCCGCGCTTTGTTTTGCGCGGGGTCCCGCAGGCAGGCAGGCGGGCCGGCAGCCCTCAGCGCTGCCCCCCGGGGATTCTCGCAGCCCCTCTCGGCCATCTGCGGTCAGCGCGGACATCTGGCAGGCAGCTGCAGGAGGTGAAGGCGGCGAGTCGCAGTGCGCATCTCGGCGATTTGAGCGAGGCAAACGAACAGGGTTCATAAGCGGCGGCTGCGGAGGGCACGGCGGGAGCCGCTGCGAAGCGCGGTTCGGCGGGGCGGCGCACGGCCGCCCCTCGGTTACGCGGCTGCCGCGCCAAAGGCACCGCCTGCGGTCCGCGGCTTCGGCTGCCCGGCACGAAGCTCCGCTCCCCGCGCACCGCGGCTCCGCGGCTGCCCTCTGACCTCGGCTGCTCGCGGGACGCGCCTTCCTCCTTGCTTTTCCCTGCGGACAAACGTGCCGTCTTTCTCTTGTTCGATTTTCAGCGTCTCAGCTTGGAGACGGTTGCTGAAATAGAAAAAAATACAAACGATTCTGTATGTATGTGGATTGGGCGAGCTATATTTTGGAATAAGGTTGGCCTTTGAGGTCAGCCTGCCTGTCCGTAGGTTTTTATCAGCATGAGGTACAACGGAGCCAAAGATCCCTTCTTACTGTATGTAATAAATGGTGCCCTTTGCTGGGCGAAGTATTGATTGAAACCTTCCCTGATGAAAAGACTCGTGTAGCTTCCTTACATGAGGAGTGTCTGTTTTGAGAGTGTGGAACTGTTCAGATGGAGAAAAGGTGGGGGGAGAAATAACAATAACAACAATAATAAATGCTGAGTTCAGAGGCGGACACAAAAAATGGGTAACATGATGTTAGGACAGATAGTATAACCAAATGTAGAACAGCAGGACTTTCTCTTCTGGTTTATATTAACACACACATGATGGCATACATCCCTTACCAAAACAGCCATGGAGATCCTGAAGGGAGACAATATGATAACAATGCACAAACGTGGCATAAACTGCTCACAGGTAAGGAGAGATGTGTAACCGTATGGAATTTTAGTTGTAATCATCATGACCATTAATTGGCCTGTCTCTGGAAGATGCTCTTGTAATTAAGTACCTCAGTAGCTGAGGTACCTCAGATGAGTATCTGAAAGAGGTGGTCATTTCTTTTATGCTGCTGTATACATTTTAGAAGTTGGCAGGGGGAAAAATAACCAGAGATGGCACGTGGAAGGCTGCAGTCTTAAAAGGGAGTGAAGAGGAGGAAAAATAGGTTAGTGTGGAAAATGGGGAAAATGAAAGTGGGTATGGCAAACAGAACAAATTATATAAAGGCAGAAACACAGAGGTATTACAACTTTTTGACTTGCCTGGGCCTCAGTGAGTAAAGAGCAATTGTCTTGGGGGTACATACAAAATATATAAAGTAGTGAATGTATATAAGTAACAAAACTTTTTAATATATTTTTAATTAGAATGTAAAAAAGGACAACAGAAACATAAAACTAGGGGTTAGACACGTGTCTAACTGTAAGAAATGCAAACATAAAAGGAGGTTGGCTGAGTTTTGTAGATGCACACACTTTGTGGGGCACAGTTTCAATATTTGAGATGAAATGTTAGCTGTATCTATACCTTTTGCACTGAAGCATTAAAAATGACAAAGTGGAGTTATCCTGGCTAACCAAATGGCGATTTGTACATGGATTTTGGGAGATGGAGGTAATTTTAAGGGATCCTTTCATAAAGATGGGTAAAGGGACACTATATATAAACAACAACAAAAAAAAGGGTTGATGAAGCTGAAGTTTGCAGTTTTTTCACAAAAACTGAAGGATGAAGTCTCATAAGCCAGACCTAGATTCTAAAAAAAGGTGTTTAGGCATCTATCTTCCATTCAGATGAGTAAGAAAATTCAGAACTAAGTTTAGAAATAATTAGGACAAAAAGAGAGCTGTCTATCTAGGACAGTGGGGAGCATTGAACGTAGCCTGAAATGCAGAGTTCCATTAGGAAAGATCTCTTTGTTTTGCTGCATAGGCTGCTTTATCTGGGGTAGTGGTGTGATGAAGCCACAGAATCACAGAATGATTGAGGTTGGAGGGAACTCTGGAGATCATCTGGTCCAGCCCTCTGTCCAAGGAAGGTCCCCTAGAGCACAGTACCCAGCAGTGTGTCCAGGATGCTTTTGTATATCTCCAGGAAAGGAGATTTCACAGCCTCTGGGCAGCCTGCTCCATTGCTCAGTCTCTCTCACAGTTTTTCCTTGTGTTCAGACAGAACTCCTTGTGTTTCAGTTTTTGCCCACTGCCTCTTATCCTTGCAGTGAACCACAACCCTCTGTATATCCTGACAGATGCTCCAATATGAGGAGATGGGATCATTTTCTCTGGCATGAGATCAGAGACCTTCTGGTATACTTTACAGTGGTCTTAGTGGAAAGATGAAGGAGCAGCCAGGAGAACAGCGTGATGCACTGCTTTGTGGGCAACCTTTTCAGAACAAGACGTTTTGGAGAGTACAAGTTGTTGCATTTGGTGCATATTTCAGACCTCTAGATTTTTCTGGGTATCAGATTTTACCATTCCCTGTGTAGAAGTCTATCTTTACAAATAGGCTTTGCCTAAAATTTCCAGAAGTCTCCAGAGCAGTGTTTCTTTAAGAGCTTCTCCTGTTTTAATACTCCTTTCTCTTTCCACAAAGCATGGAGTACATTCAGGCTATCAGAACTGAACACTGCTTACCTCATTGGGACTAAGGCCTGAATAGGGCTGAACCAAGATCCTGCTGTCCAGTTCTTGCTGGTGCAAATCGAATCGCAGGACAACATGCATCACTAGGCTGAGAACACAGAGGAAGAAGGTCCTTCATTAGATGTGAGACGGGGACCACATTTGCATTAATTGTCTATAATGGACTCTCGTCGAGGCAAAGAAATGAACCTCCCTCTCCTTATGTGTGTTACAACTAAGAGATTTTGCCTCTTTCTGTTGAGCTAGGTAATGTATCATTTTACCTAGACTCGGCAGTATGCTGTTCTTTTCCTGCCTAACATCTGCTGCAGTTTTCATTGCTTGAATTGCTCTTTGACTAGTTGTAAAAGGCATGTTTCAGAAATGTCTTTAAGGGTGTGAATTATTATTCACCCTTTTCATCTTCCTTTATGTTTGTTATTTGACTTCTTAAAAAACAAGAAGTTCAAAGTTTTAATTCATGTTTATGTTAAAAATACCAAGATTAGTAAGGCTAATTCATAGCAATAGGATTTTAGTGCTGTTTGAGAAAGTAATTTATTTTTCTATAACAATAAACTGGCATTTAATCTCCTTCATTTCGCAGAAGCTGCACTATAAATCAGTCTTCACTTAAGACAGCAGCGTTTCTGGCGGATTGCTTCTCACTGGCACTTCTTACTGCTGTGGTGTTGGTGTGCATTCTTCCCACATCCACCTGAAAATTCTGACATTTACTGTTCCAAGGCTTTTGCACTGTTTGTATTTCATACATTGTTTTTCTATTACTTGATGCATGGCAAAGATTTTCTTAATACACCTTTTTTTAAAACCACCTTTTTTTTTCTTTCTATAAAATGACCTTAATAGTAACATCTGAGATTTAGCATTTCAATTTTCACACTCATTTCATGTAAACGTGCTTGGTTTTGTTTTGTTTTGTTTTCCAGAGAGCCTCAGAGCTTTGCCTTGGACTCTCCATTTAATAGAGCAGCATCTTCTCTGCTCATGACATCACATCTGACAAACTCCTGAACTTCTAAAGTTTGAATGAAAAAGTTTGTGCAAGTGTAACTCAGAGCAGAAATTGGTCTAAAAAATTTAACTGTTGATGAAGCATAAAGAACCAGAGGTGGAGCTGAGTGATGTTGTGAGTTGGTAAAAAAACATATTTTAATATAAACTGCATGAAATCTGTTATTTGCATCCCCAAGAGAATGAACTAGAACCCAAAAAAATGACAGTACTGAATGATTTCCAATAACTATCTGAAACTATTTGAGCAGTAATAGGACAACAATGCTGTCTAGTCTGTGCAGGACAAGAATTAGTGATTCAGTCCCTTTGTGATGCAGGTGGCTTCTTGCTCCACCCAGATACAAAAGAGGACAGTACCTCCTGGAGGAGAGATGGTCTTATGAATTAAAAAGTTTGGAGCTTAGAACACCCAGGTGGCAGGAGAAGGTTTAAGGGCTCTGTTTTCTGTGACTCTCTATGACTGGGTAAGAGCCAGCACGTTGTATGATCACGCCAAAACAAAACGTGTTCCACTTGTAACTTGACATGGCTTTTAGGGTCACAGGGAAGTTTAGTTTGAAGAGTTCTTGTTGGGGATGCTGCCAAGTCGTACAATGCTATGTAGATTGCTGCATGTCAAGGAACTGTAAGGAATGAGTGAATTGATTGGCCCACTAAGCTGTACAGAGCAGCAAAATTAGCTCCCCTTTTTTGCTCTGCTGAAAATAATTAAGAGAAACAAGGTTTACAGTTTCATAAAAACAATTGGACTTTCTTGCAGAAGAACATGCAAACTGTTACTTCCCTAGCAATCTCTAAATGAGATGTG